CACACAGATCACACATGGTACCCACAGCACATTGTACCACTTGTGCTTAATGCACTCACACACACGCAGAGCTGAACTGTGGCCATGTAACACATACATCTGCGGCAGAGGAATCTTTCTAAGTGATGCTGCACAGAGGCACGATGGTAGCACTGGACAGGCACAGCCTGCAGCTCACACCCATCAGGATCCCATGACCACCTGTGCCCCAGACACACCTTGCTGCCCTCTCCCCAGCCGTCAGCAGAGGAAGTACAGCCCCACCGAGGCACTGCAATGTGATCTCTGCTTGCCTCAATGCAATATTCATGGTGAGAAGTGTGCCAGCCATGCAGTATAGGAGCTATCGCCTTCCAGCTGTGCTGTACCTGCAGGGCAATGCAGCCTCAACACAACTGCAGTGCCCCAAAGCCCCACGAGCTCACAGGGACACAGCAGCACTCACACCTGGCCTCTGCCTTCTGCATGGAAGGGCAACAGAAATACCCCATCTGATCACAGTGTATCCAATTAGTGCTCCTCTGTGTTAATGAGATGCTTCAACAAATGTAAGGGATTGTTTTTCCTGAAAATTATGGTTTGCCTGCTGGCAAATCTATTGATAAAACCCCGCACAGATCTGTTTCAATGCATCTGGGCCACTGCTGCCCCTCCAGACCACCTCACTGTGGCAATGCTGGCCCTGCTGCTGCAGCACAGCTAATATCGGCATCCCACAATTAGCATGCGGCATATTAATCTGTGCAAATAAATGAGCCTCGTCCTCCAGTCCAGAAAAACACTTGGGGGACCAATTCTTTATTTCTGAGTGTATGATTAGTACAAATTAAAACCAGAGTAAGTTTTAATTTTGCCATATTGCTCAGCTTCATCAAAATGCCCTCACTCCCCAGAGCCAAGTCCCAGCAAGAACACAACGAGGGGATGCTTCAGCTAGAATGATCAGGGTAGGCCAGGAAAATTAATTTTGAAGTTCCTGGCAGGAACAGAAAACAGCAAAGAGGCAACATACAGAAAACAAAACTGAAAAGGCTCAGCAGCAAGGAACAGAGAAAGAGCTGGCCACGTTAAACACTGGGCCAATTCTAAATGGTAAACTCAACAGCTGCTGCCCTACCACCAGCCCTGAGGTCAGCTGAGCTTCAGTTGGTGGGTTTCAGTTAGGAAAAGTTGCATGTTGGAACTCAGCCTCATCCATCCCCTTTATACGTCCCCACAGACAAAGGCCACGTAGAGCTCAGCCAACAGCCCACACAAACACCAGGGCAGCCTCTGAGGGAGCCCAAGCACTGAGCTTTGGAGGTGACATCAGTCCTATCTCAAGAACTTGGGACAAACCCAAACCAGCCCCACAGCACTGACCTGCAGCACAGCAGAGAGCTCAGCCCTGAGTCCAAGGCAGCCAAGGGTGAGCCTAGGGGAGCAGGAGGAGTACCTGGGATCAGCAAGGACATGGTCCTAGAGAAAGGGGCCTGCAGCCTTACACCAGGAGCCAGTAAATACTCCCACAGACCCCTCCTGGGAGCACAGGTGGCTCTGGTTGAGGCTGCTCCCTCCTTGCAGCTCTCCCAGGTGGCAATAAGCCACACGCCCTGAGCAGGATGTGGGCTGTGCCTCTGTGCAGTGCCCCTGATCTGCAGAACGGAGCCTGGCACTGCTGGCAAGCATTTTCCCAGTGTGTCATTTCCATAGATTGAGAGCAGCATCCTCCTCCAGCCAAACAGAAGGCATTCCTGAATTAATTTAGATTTCCCGCTGCCTTGTTAGGCCAGCTGGATACGGCACGCTTCATCTCCTCTGCAAACAGTGCCTCTGTCCCTATGGGACACTCAGCACTTTATAAACCTGTCAAGCTCTTAAAGCCGACGGCCGTGAAGCTCTGCAGCACAATGCAGTGAGGTGTGGGTCCATACCAGCACCAGCCCACCCTGCAGAGGTGAAGCAGCACGGGTGGTTTGTGAGTGAGGGGATGCACTTTTGTGCCATGCTTTCGTTGAAGAGCAAAAAGAATAATAATATGCAATGCATGATTTATTTCAGAGCATCCAAGCTGCTGCAAACTGTGGTGCTTTGAGAGCATATGTATATACATGGGAAAGAGGAGATTGGCCCCAGAGCTATTTGCATTTGCTGCCCTCCCTCCCTCAAGCACTGTTGTTTGAAGGACTCATCCTGGAGACAGCTGGAGTACCTGCAGCATTGTGGAAAACAGAGCCTTCTGGTGCAGCACACCTGATCCAGCTGGGTTCCGTTTGCAAAATATGCTGTTCTGCCAGTCCTCCCCCCCTGCCAACTTACCCAAAGCTGAATTATTTTTCCTACTTTTCCCACGTGTTTCTGAAGATATTTTTTGCACCACCAGCATCAGTTTGGCCCTTGGGGATGAGCACCCCCAATGACACTCATCACTCCCGTGAGGGTCCCCATCACTCCTTGTGTGTCCCTGGGCTCTGTCCTTTCTCTGTGCCCCTCCCAGACACAAGGATGCAGCGATGGGGATGGAGCTGTGCTGGCTGTGTCCCAGCCGGGGCCGCACGCTCAGCCCAGCAGCCGGCGTCTGATGGTGTCAGTGCCTGTTGGGTCCCCAAGGGATGCTAATGTGACTGCAGCAGGTCCCGGCTATTCTCTGCAGCCCGGCGTGTTGTTGCTTCATTAAATGCCAAATTGTTACATTAATTCTAACTGCCCTGTAGAGATGTAGCTGTCAGGAATGATTTACTCGCCTCCAGCTGACTTGGGGACTTTTCACAAGCTCCAGCAGAGGAACGGGAGGAAGGCAGGGGCTGAGCAGCAGCGGGACGGCGTGCAGCCAGGCAGGGATAGCAGTGCCTGCAGCATCCCTGGGGGGACAGAGACGCTCACACCGCAGTGGGAAAAAAAATTATAAAGGTCTGGAGCTTGGCTGCGCCTGAGCTGGGGGCTGCTGGCAGCCGGAGCTGAGTGCCCACAGAGTCTTTGAGGACACCACTGTGTCACAGCTGTGTCAGGGCTCTGTGATCACTGCTCCCAGTTCTGCTGCTGCTGCCCAAGGGATGGATTGTGCATAAATGTCAAAAACTCTCCCTGGTTGGTCAGGATTAAGAGGGAATTGTGTGTCTGCATTCTGCCATGCTTTCCCTGGCTCAGAGCAAGAATCTCAGCACTTCACACCCAGCACACCCACTGTGTGGGGAGAGCCCCACATACTGCCCATCCCTGCGACACCAGGGACCCATGGGTCTGCTCCCCTCTGTTGGGAAGTGACCCAACTCATCATTCAAAATGGAAAGAGAAAGAAGGTACAAAAGCTGGTTGCGCTCTATCGTGCAGAAGTCCGTTTAAACCCAGAAGCCTCGTGTGTTTGGGTGTTGAATTATTTTCCATCACCAGTCTGCAAAACGCTGTGCACAAAAGCAATGTGCTCTTCCTGCACCTAAATCAATACCTCCCTGTGCCCCGCAGCCCTGCAGGCACACACCCATATGTGAGGCTCAGCACAAAACGCACTCCCACATGGAGAGATAACAGAGATGGCAGAAAGAAAAAACTAAGAATAATTTAAACACCTTTGCTTATTTTTTTCCAGCATATTTGTGCTTGCTTGGTTTTCCTGTCAGCTTTTAACAAAGTCATTTGTGCTGTAATGTTGTTTCAGGGTGTAAATCCTGCAGGTCTGAGTGCTTCCTGCACCTGTAGGGAACACAGGTTTGGGACACAAGGACTCATCAAAGGTGAATCTGCCATTCAAAACCAAAAAATCATGCATTAGATTTTCCTCCCCGGCAGCACACAAACCACTCCTCCTGCAATGCACTCACACTGATCAGCAGAGCTGATGGAGCTCACCTGCAAAGTGAGTGATGCGAGCCACTCTTCCTAATTCCAGTCCGGTTTTACGAGCTGTCACTCCATTCGTGCTGTTGGTTTTATTTCCTTCTTCCAAATTGGTTTTCTTTTTAACGAGAAGAAAGCATTTCTGTTAATGGGATCTCTGAGTCTCAGCCCAGAGATGCACCGCTGAGATGCGGCTCCTGAGCCCTCTGCCAGAGCACCGCCGTCCTGCCAGCACAGCACTGCACAAAGGAATGGGCAGAGTTGGCATCACTTCCCTTCCTCAATCCAGACATGCACGGGGAGCAGCAGCTCAGCATTTGCTGTGAGGGAAACTATGAGAAAAATCTACCAGACACTTGGGTCTGCTTCCAGACAGTGGTCTTATAATAGCACCATTCCCCTAAAATAAACTCCATTTCTGCCTTTGTTCTCATTTCCTTCTTTCAAAAATTACTCTTAATAGGAATTTATTATTAATAATTGGATGGCCAAAATGTATTGCTGTGAAACAATTGGCCCAGGTTGGAAGGCGTGTCTCTGAACCATGGGGCAATGGAATAGAAAGCAAAGAATTCTTGAAAATAAGAACTCTGCGTGGGTGAGGTGTTGTCATCTGATTTCCAAAGCTCCATCATTTTCTAATTAATCCAGTGGCACTGTGACTCACCAGCAACAGTTGTCTGCCTGTTACTCAGTTCTGACTCAGGAAGGGCAGAAGCTCCTGGGCCCAAATCCTACTGGAGCCCAGTGGGCCATGGGAGGCACTGCTCCCAACACCTGAAATGCCCCAGGACCTGAGGCACCATGAGCTGAAAGAAACTCAGCTGCTCGGGGACTTCATGATGCTGCAGCCTGGGACAAAGCTGCCCCTGCCTTACGCATTTCCTCCTGTGCAATGAATGCTGAAAGATAACAACAAGCCATTAAAACCTGAGCCTGACCACAACCAAGGGCTGGGCATGCACTGAGCAGCTCTGCTCGGATCTCTCAAGCACTGCAGCCCCAAAGCTCCCAGTTCCGTTTCTGCTTTTCAGAGTGTTTTTCTGTCAGTTGCACTGCAGCTGTGTTTAGAGAGGAGAGCGCGCTTTGGTGCTTTTGTGAATCAAGACTTCAAGTTTAGAGAGCTTTTACTTTTATTTTCAGGTATTGCGTTTATTTATATAGATGTATTTGATGTGAATTTAGCAAAAGACGATTTAAAGTTCAGCTGACAAATTTATTTGCAGCCTTGGAGTATTCGATCATCAGAGAGAATGCGAGAATATAAATAAAAGACACGGGACAGTCACATCATCTACAGATAATTCCATCATTTGTACAGGTAACGATACACACATTGCTTTGCCTTTCCTCACCATCCGCTCGCGCCCTGCAGAGATACGCAAATGCCTCCAACAGAGAAGAGCTGCTGGGAAGGCGAGCGTTCACTGCAAAGCACAGCTGGAGCCGACCCAGTGATGCGACCACAGAGAGACCCAGAGGGTGTTTGGCAACAGCGGGGGGAGTGGAGACACTGCAGAAAACGGCTGCAAAGGGATCTTAAAGAACAGCAAAAGATTCACAGCTCTGAGCCGCCGGTGTTCCTGGGCCAGGAAAACCACCTCTCGCCATCGTGATGAAGGTGGAGTTATTTGGTAATAAATACATCTATTCATGGTTCAATGCTTACATGGAGGAATGAAACTAGCAGCCTACAAATCAAAAAGATGCGAAGCGGAATCAACGGGTGGTCTTCACTTCACAAAGGAAAAGGGTCGATGATGAGTGATTGGCATATGAAAGAGCATCTCGGTTTAGAAAAGTGAAGGTAAAATTCAAAAGAAAGCAGAACATACCGCCTCAAAAATCTGCTGGAAGAACAGAGATGTTCGCTACCATGGGGTTCTGAAGTGATTCACTATTAACATTTCTCCTATAGAAATACAGACATGGTCACACCTTTCACCGCGGATGAGGACTTTATTTTCTCTTCAGAAGGTTTTCGGTGTGGGTGGGTGATGAAAGAAGTCCTCGCTTTGGAGAATGCACTGACAGCAGAAAGCAAAATATGTCCTGTCAAATCTGTAAAGCACAACTCTCGGTGTTCAGTAAGGACATGACAACCAGGTTCATGGGATGCTCCTCATGCTCACCGCTGTGCCACGTTTCCCTTTGCCCACCGTCCACCGCAGACCCACCACCTGCTCGCCCTCCGCAAGCACATCCACGCTCTGCAGGCAGCCGTGCCATCCTGCACTCAGCACGTCCCTCCTTTTTTCCCCATGAGCAGATGATGTTTGACAGCAATGAGTCCTTTCCCTTCCCACTGCACGGCGGCAGATCCTCTATCAAAACTGAGCGTGGTCGACTTCATCCAGCCAGGAGGCCGGGCTGGCAGGGAAATCCGGGTATCCCCCACTGCTGCCGCTGGAGAGGTCGGAGCTGGGCCCATTCCCGGCCAGGACCCGCATGGACTGGGGCACCCCCTGTCCACCTTGTCCCATGATGCCCAAACCGCTGTCGGGATAAACCAAGCTGGAGATTAAAGGCTGGTGGCCTGGCAGAGCTTGCAATGAAGCCGGTGACTGGGGAATCCCATAGGGGCTGTTGGATCGCAGGTCGTGGTACTGGTCCTGAGCTGGGATGCCGCTGTGATCCAGAGCGAAGCCCCCATTTGTCCCAGCCTGCCTCCCCAGGGCCGGGGACGCCTCGCTGAGATTGCTGTAAATCCCATTGGAGTGGCTCATCTCAGACATGGAGGGCTCATCTGAAAGGAAAACAGACTGGTTTTACTGGGACAGCGATGGCCACTGCTGGCAGCACACACAGGAGCTCCTGAGTACAAACAGATGAGATGGATGGGAACTGAGCAGCCCTGCACTTGCTCCTTGTAATTCCTTATTATTCCTTATTATTCCTGCCCCTGTTGATGAGTCTCCAAAGAAAGCCGTGGGATTATTTTTTCTGAGTACAAACGTCTAATACATTTTGGATCTAAAACACAGGCATGAAAAGCACACATTAAAATATAAGACTGTGGTTTTAAAATAATCCTTTAAAGAGGAACGTGAGTTCAAGATCTTTCCAGCCTTTTTTTTTTTTTTTCTTTTCTCTCTCATTCCTATTTGGCTTTGAGGTTTATTTTGAATTTCAGTCTCATTTTTAGGAACTACCTAAGCATTCAATCCATGAAAAACTGCATTGCTCCGAAGAAAACTTATTAAATCTCAGTAGTGTTTGTTTTCTCGAGATTGGGATAAGGAGACGGAAGGCTTAAAAACACTTCTGAAAAATGAAAATATTTTGTCAACTACCAGCAAAAATTGTTTGCTTTCGTTCGGGGTTTTATGGACAATGAGAGCCATTCTGTTGCCTTGGATACAAACCTGCCGTGGCACTGAGCTATCAATAATTGTTCAACAATTTTTAGTTATTATTTACAGTACATTCATAATTAATGACACCGAGGCACAGTGTGTATACACAGACTGGAAAATCAAACAGTTTTTATGAACACGGGAGAGAGCAGAAACACAAAGCCGTGTGCATATAAACATCCGTGCACTGCAATGTCTTTAGCAGTACAGTTTTGTATTTCAACTTCTGCACAGCTTTGCATTTCAGCTTCTCTCCCGTGCCCCTACAAACGATGTCCGTGCACACACAGCTGAGCCCCGCGGGGATGCAGTGCAGGTGCTGTCAGTGGGGATGGTTTGGCGCTGCCGTCCCTGTGCAGCCACCCCAGTGCAGGGCTGGCAACGAGCAGCGCCGGGCTGAGGAGCACAGAGCTGTGAGCTCCGGGGTTTATCTGCAGAGATGGCTGCCCCCAAAACGGGACCTTGTAACGCAGAAATCTTCCAGCACAAATTCTTTTTTTTTTTTTTTTTTTTTTACAGCAGGGAAGTGACAGCTCCCACAAGACTGGGAAGCATTTAACCAGGAACTACGCAAATAAAATAATTCTAAATAGGGCAATACAACAACAGCCGAACTAAGAGGAACCTACGCACTTCTCATAGTCCAGTTCAGTAATTCTGAACTCTGCGTTTTGTATTTCTAACAGTTCCTTGAGAAGGCTGCATGCAGAGGCTGCTCCAGCAGCCCAGCGCTGCCCAAGTAGCTCTCCCTGCTCCGTCTGGGGTCTGTCACAGGGTTTTCCCGTGCCATTTCTCAGCTCACGGCTGTCCGTAGCCGAAGCGGCTCCGGCTCTGCCAGGGCGGTCCCTCCAGTCCGCCTTCCTCCTCCCGCACTTGTTTTCCCTCATTATATTACAGCTAAAAATTATTAATGTGGCCCCGATGGGGTGAAGCGAGCCCTGCCCGGGCCGCAGCTCAGCAAGCAGCGTTCGGCACAGCCCCGCCGGGCACCGACCTGTGAAGGAGACCTCGGCGTCGCTGTCGGGCCCCTCCTCCTGGATGCTGTCCTTGTCGGACTTGGAGGTCCCCCGGGACCGCTTCATGTTCCTGAAGTACTGCCCCCAGCGCTGCCTCCCCGCGTCCTTCTTCAGCCGCTTCTCCTTGGCCCTGCGGTTCTGGAACCAGACCTGCAAGCAGAGCACGGGGCAGCTCGCTGTGCGCGGGGCCGACCCGATCCCAACCGCCTCCCGGGGTGGGAACCGGGCGGTCTCACCTGCACCACCCGCATGTCCAACCCCGTCTCAGACGAGAGCTGCTCCCGGACGTGCCGCGCCGGCTTGGGCGAGTTGTTGTAGGCGTTTTTGAGGGTCTCCAGCTGCTTGGCCGTGATGGTGGTGCGGGGCCTCTTGGCCGTGGACTCGGCCTCTGCCGGCACGGTGCGGATTAGCTCGAAGCTCCCCGTGGGGACCCGGGACCCCCGCCCTCCCTCTTGCCCAACCCTATGTATGAGCGAAGCCCCGAGGGCAGAGCGGCCCGGAGCCGCCTCTCTCTTCCCGGGGGCGAAGGGCACGCGGTACCTCTCTGCTTGGCCGTCTCGTAATCAGCCTTGCACACCAGCCTGCTGTCCTCCATCAGGTAGAACTCGTCTCCGGTGGCCAGCTGCCGCTTGCAGACGATGCAGGCGAAGCAGTGCAGGTGGTACACGAAGTCCTGGGCCCGGCGCACCACCTGGGTCGGGGGGATGCCCTGCTGGCAGGCGGCACACTTCGTCCCGAAGCGCCTGGATGGGGCGACAGGCGGCGGCCGCTGAGCGCGGAGATCCCCGCGGGCCGAGCCCGAGAGCGGCCGCTGTCCGTGGTGCTGAACCCCGGGACGGAGCCGCTGTCCGCGGTGCTGACCGCCCCCCTGTTCCCCTCCGCCCCCCGGTTCCCCTCCGCCGCCCCCCGACCCACGCACTTGAAGAAATCCTCCTTGCAGTACACGCCGTCCCCGCGGCTGAAGCACTTCTCGGCCAGCTGAGTCTGGCAGTCGGAACATTTCAAGCACTTGCTGTGCCAATGCCGGTCCAGGACCTTGAGGATGAACCTGTCCACGATGTGTTGATTGCAGCCGGCGCACAGCGGGATCTCTGCGGGAAGCAGCCCCTCATCAGCTGCCGCTCCGACGGACCCACTGCCACCCACCGCCTCCCGATCCCCCCCGGCCCGGCACTCCTGGAGCTGCCCCCGTCTGAAACCCCGGGGTTGGCCCTGGGAGCGGCGTGAAAAACATTATTTTTCATTCAAATTCGTTGGTGCGGCGTTGTGAGAGCCTCTCTCTGCGGCACGGAGTGCAGAGATCCCCCCGAGCCGCTCACAGCCCAGGAAAACACAATCGGAAATGCTCGGAAGGGATTTCAGCCCCAGCCAAGCCGCCCGCACCACCTCTCGCAGTTATTCTGTCTCTTTTTGCTTTTCCTACACTTCAAATATTCACCATATAACGACGGGGCAGCCTGGCCTGGGAGAGGGGGAACAAACTGCCCAAAATAATAAAAATTCTACTGAAAACAAAACACAGCAGGAGTGTTCTGTCACCCTGCAGGTATCAGAAGAGGTGATCTCTGGAATGAAACGATACAGAGATATAGAAACAGAGAGAGACAAAAATGAACAAGTAAGTAGGTTAGAAAGTGAAAACCTACAGATATATGGACAGATATTTGCAGACATAGAGAGAGAGAGAAATGTCGATGCAGAGACACAAAAATACGGATTTATCAGCACAGATACAGATATAGAAATATACAGACAGCTGCGTGGATTCAGATAAACACAGACATATGGGTGTCTGTATGCAAAGGTAACTGTGCGTGGAGACATACAGAGATGTACGGCTGTGGGTAGGAGCACAGGTTCAGGTGATGCCGTTATCGCTATAATCGTCTCCTCTGCTCTTATCCGCGTCCGAACAAACGACACCCGCAGCGGTAGCGATAACGGCAACGGCGACAGCCGACCCCGAGCTGCTCGGACAGCCGAGCAGCGGCAGCGGCACCGCGGCCCGGAGGCAGACACGGGGCTGTAAGGGCCCGGCGGCTCTTACGCTGCATCGCGCTCCGCTCGCTCAGGCGGGACACACCGCTCCGGGGACTCAACGGGGCGCTCCCTCCGCCGGCCCTCCCCGCTCCCTCAGCAATCCGTTATCCCGCTGCCACCCCGGGATTGAACCCCCCCGGAATGGTTATTTGCAGCCGTCGGCCATTCCCGCCCGCAGCTCCGTGCGGCGCTGTATTTAATCCCCTTCTAGGCTGCGCTCTGCGGGAGGGAGACGGCACCGCGGTGCCCGGAAACGAAATCCGGGCGGGGCCGCCCCGACGGGGCTGAGGGATGGCGGGGGCCGCGCTGGGCCCGGGGGCCGCATCGGGGGAGGACCGGAACGGGGGGGGAAACGGCGGTCGCTGCCCGGAATTCGTTGTGCGCTGCGAACGGCCGCGAGCTGCTGAGAAAAGGGATTGACCAAGGGATAAAGAAAAAAAGAAAGAAAACGAAAATGAAAACAATTATTCAATAATAAAAGCACGACGAACTCAGCCCCGCACCGCCTCCCGGTATCCCTCACTCTCCCGGGCCGCGGGGCTTTTTGCGGGCGTTGCGTCCTGCGGGGACTCGGCGTTTTTGTCTCGTTCCTCCTGCCGTGAATTCGCTCCGTGAATTCGCTGTTTCGGTTCCTTCCCCGCCGCTAAGAGGAAACACCTCCCGGTGTTGGGGGTCAACCGCGCAATTCCCGCAGTGAGCAAAGCGCGGAGAGAAGCCGGGGAGAAGTGCAGAGACACGGGGGGCGCGGAGCGGAACGAGGGGCAGCGGATCGACGGCGGGAGCTCCGGCAGCTCCGGAACCGCGACCCCGTCCCTCTCCGCCTCGTCCCCTCCTCGCTTTCGTTTAAAACCCCCGCACCGACGGTTCTCGCCCGCATCGACAGCGCCGGCGTTTTCGCCATTCGTTAAATTGGGAAGAAAAATACCAACAACAACAACAAAAAAGAGGAATTACGGGGAGATTTTCCAGAGGGGGAACGGAAAGGGTCGGAGCCAACGGGGGTTGTACAGGGGGTGCCCGCCGGGGCAGCAGTTCCCCATCTCGTCCCGCCGTCGTTGCGCGCGGAGCTGCGGCCGTCACGGGACGGAATCCGCAGCTCCACGGGGCTGAGCAGAGCCCACCGGGTCCGGGCCGCGCGCTCAGCCCGGCACAGACGCGGCGTTTCCCCCTCGGCAGCGGGCGGAGGGATCCTGGCTACACAGACGGCACGGACGGATCGAAACGGGCACCGGGAGCGGGCACGGGGCGCAGCCGGGATCGGGACACGTCGGACGGGGGAGAACGGAGGCAGAGGCCGTCGGGCCGCCCGCCCTTCCCTCAACCGGCCCCGGGCGCGATGCTACGGGGCACCCGGAGCCATCGGCGGTGCCTCCGCGAGGGGACGCGGGGCTCTGCGCCCTCTCACCTGGGCTCCGCGGGAAGGGGCAGAGCTCCGCTGCCTTCTCCGAGCCGGCGCGGACCCTCTCCAGCAGCATCGCGGACGCGCCGGGTGCACGGGATGTCCGAGGTGCGCGGGTGGCTGCGGAGGAGTGGCGGAGCGCTGCGGGGAGCGGCGGGGAGCGGCGCGGGGCTGGACCGCGCCCGGGGCGGAGCGGGGCCGGCGGGGGGGCGGGCCGGGGGCGGCACCGAGCCGTCGGGCCGGGCCGCAGCTGGGCCGCGGTTCACCGAGGGGCGATTTAGCATCACAAAAGCGAAAGGGCGAGGGGGGTAAGGATCGTTCCCCACGTCCCACGCGTGCCCTGGGGCCCCGTGAAACCCCCGCGGGGGCACCGCGCTGCGGGCGGAGGTCAGGGAAAGCGCCGTCGGGGGGAGGTCCGGCCCCCACAGCTCCGATTTCGTTCGTTCCAGCGGCGCGGGGCCACCGACACTGCCCGTGGGGAGCGGGGGCCGTCACTCTCCGTTAATTAGTTAATGAGCGTGAAGAAGTAACGGGGAGAGTATCTGACCCACGGCAATCAGTGCCCTGCGGCTGGCAGAGGTTAATTGCGTTAATTGAGCGTCCAAGCTTGTGCAAGGGGTGCACATAGGAGTGCAGGGATGTGCACAGTGGGGCTGAGCTACGTGGCTGAGAACAGCTGTGAGTACACACAGTTGTGAGCAGTGCATGTGTCCATGTCAGCCTGCATGTCCTTTGGGTGTGCACCTGTGTCTGCATTTGTGTGATCGTGCTGTATTCTGATAACTCATGTGTGTGTAGGTGTGTGTGCACTCAGTGGGTGCACATGTCTGTGTGTCTGTCCATGTCCCATGGTGTACAGCCCCATGATTGCATGCACACTGCTCGTCCCAGCAGCCGGAGCTGATAATTGTGGTTGTTACTGTGAGACCAATAATCCCCCAAATCCCTTTACCTCCTGCTCGCAGGGGATTACAAATTAATAAAAGCAGCTTAGGGGCAGGAGCCTCCAAACACACATATGTTCCTGGTGGAGGGCAGCATGGCGACTTTCACCTGCCCACCAGGCTCAGCCTCACACCAACACTGAGCTCTGCTGGGTGCCACGGCCAATGGATGAGTGGGTGGGGATGGATCCCATCCCACGGGATGGCTCTGAGCTGTAGGGCTGGAAACTGCTGCAGGGAGACGTCACAGGGAGAGGGATGGAGCTCCTTGCATGGGGTTATAACAGTGCCCCTAGAACCAGAACACTCTGGCTGTCCCCAGGGCCAGGAGCAGCTCCTGGGGCAGGCAGTGACCCACGCAGCCTCTCTTAAGCTTGGGTTTATAAGTGGATTTTATGTCTGATCCTCTAAGGAAGCAGTTTAAAAGCCTGCGTGCTCGTGGGCGCTGTGCGGCAGCCGTTCCCCATGAGCAACAAGCAGCTGGGCAGGGCAGGGCAGCAGGCCAAGTCCCACCCAGGTAACCTTCAGCACCCGTCTGAAACAAGGCAGCACACCCATTAACTTTGGATAGTGAGGATGGGACAGCCCTACCCAGCCCCAGAGGTGAATGCCTGCATTTCTCCTCATGGGCTGTAACAGTGAAAAAATGGAGTAAGATTTTCTAAATTGATTACCTACAGAAAACAACTGGTATGATTTGAAATGGATGTGCATACAAGCTGTGCCTGCACTGGAATTTAACTAAAAAGATCCCAAAAACACAGATTAAAAACTCCAACTGCACCACTTTGCCCAAATGTCTGTATTTTTAACAAGCACATCAGCTTACAGTTTGGTACAAAATATTCACTTTTCCTTCCTAGAGTTTAAAAACACCCCTGACAGAACAGACATGAAAACATCAATTACTGAATCTAAATAAATAAAACATTTAAATAACTGAACTGTTACATCCAATAGTCCCAACATCTGATATGCAGTGCACAGATGGAGAAAATACACCTGGAAGCTTTGTTCCACTCATAGATCACAGTCAGCTCTGAGCAATAACAGGACGGATAACAGTGCTGGAAATTGTAAACCAGAGACCTCACAAATGATGCCAGCGGGGTTCTTCAGCACTCAACTTTTTCATTATCTCTCTATGCAGGTCCAGTATTTCCTCTTCACAAACATCTGAAGAGCAAAGAAAGCTCCATGAATTACGAAGGCCCAGAAATCCTGATGGCAAACGGCTGCTCCAAGGATGGTGTGAGCCACAGAGAGAAATGGCATCGCAGCAAGTTGGTACATGGCACAGAAACAGAAGTCCCAGGAGGAAGGGGACAATGGTGTGAAGCACTGTAAGGAAGGAGATGCTGTGTGACACCTGCCAGCACAGCAACAGCACCACACATCTCCCAGCAGATGTAAAACATGTATACAACCAAAGGGTACAAAAGGATGATGACATCTGTCATGGCAAAGATACCAAATAAGAACAAGTAAACCAAGGTTGACACAACCGAGTCCAAAGTCAAGAAACCTTTCCAGATGAGGGCAGTAAAAGCAACTCAAGTGAAAGCCTGCGCCAGCTTGCTGCTAACACCAAGTGGGAGCATCAGCACAGATAAACCAACGCCTTCATGCGTGCTTCTATGCTAAGAAACAAAAAACACCAATGCAGTTCCATGTGTCTGCTCATTTTGTCATAGAAGTTATTGGTATGTACCAAAACAACCTTATTCCAACAGCACATTTGCTGCTGTTCTGATGGCAGAATCACCGCTACAAACCTTCAAAGCCTTTTGTTTTCCTTTGTAGATGAAAATACCATAAATGAGTCAAACCAACTGGGGTCTGTAATACATAAAGGAAGTTCTGAACAGCAGTAATTACTGTTCTGCTTCAAAACACCACTGGCAGCAGGAAGCCCAGCAGTCCCATGGAAACTGCCACATCTCCCAGAGCCAGTTCTCCCTGCGCTGCCTTTTACTGTTCCTCTGGATTTAGTTCAGTTTTTTGGTTGGTTTGTTCTGAGAAGCAAAACAGTTTCTATTGTTGGCAAGATCTCCCCGAACAGTCAGTTAGAAGTCAACTGATTTTCAAGCTTAAACTTCACAAGTCTGGTCTTTCCCATCAGCTCTGCTCCTGGGACCTGTCACGGGATGCCAGCTCAAAGCAGGGTGGCACAGATCAACCACCATTGGTTAACCATCCTTCTACCTGCTTACAAGTTGTTTTAATGCTCAAGCCCAGGCACTACAGTCATAGGGACTCCTACAAACTCCTAAAGAAAAGAAACCCACAAGGTCTCCTTGCACCAGAGCCCTTCCAACACAGAGCATGGCCATGAGAAGGTGCTCAGCTGCAGGCACAGAGCTCACAGCACACAGATGGCTGTGCAGGGCTGCAGGTAACACACCCCTTATGTGCACAGAATAACAGCACCATGTGAATTGAGAGCTTTTCCTGACATGTTTACAACTACATGGGGTTGTTACCTTATCTGCAAGTTGTTTTGACACTTAAAGGAACTGTTCATCCGGCTCAATTCCATTACTGGAGTTCGAAGCTGCAGAAAAACCTGTCTGAAAAAAAATCCATTTTGTAAATAAACAAATTTCGTTATGAAAAAATACCTTTTGCTGAGTTTTTGTGCTGAGCTTGAAGCTTTTGATGCTGGGATGTACAATGGAAAGAGGCTGACACACGCAGTACAAATACAGAATGAATTGGCCAGGGACTGCTCACTCCTCGTGTAACAGAAGAGCTACTGAACATTCAATTAAATTAAAAGTTGGAAATGTAGAATTGAAAGGAAAAGCCTTTTTATATAACATAATTAATCTGTAGAACTCACTGCCACGAGAAAACATTGAGGCCAAAACCTATTAGGATTAACTAAAGATTAGGTAATGGATAACTAGAACACACTCAATTACATTGGATAGGATTATAAACTTCACTACCCAGAACATGAATTATCCTCCACAGATCAGAAAGGAACTCCTATTCTGAATGGTAATTTTATAACTGTTTTCATGCCTCCTTCTAATAGCTGTCAGCTGGGATCCCTGTCAGATCTGTACAGCCAATGGCCATACTCCCCACTGCTGCCACATGCAGCAATGGAAGATCTCTTGTACTTACCTACAGTTCAAACCCTCCCTGACCCACACAGCAGAGCTCTCAGCACACCACCAACAGAAGTTGGCTGCTGTACCTTCTGCACAGACCTTGCAGCCAGCAGGTGACATTCCCATGAGCCCAGAGCTGGTGGTACCAAATGAAGCATTTATGCTGACTTCCAGAAGAACAATTACTGTGACACAACAGAGACATTCAGCACTGTAAGAAATGTAGTATTTCTACATCTAAGCATTTGCTCTGGCACACTGATGCAAACAGCCTCAGTTTCCTTCACTAAAAATGGTGCTTCCCTTCACTGGAGTCCACCAGAATTGGCACGTGGCTAGCACCACATTCAGTACTGAGCTGCTCCTCCAGTTCAGAAATCAGTCATCCAATGCTCTGTTAATACATCCAACAGTGGTGCACACAAAACATCGGGTCTGAGTTGGTTGTTGCTTACACCTGAACTCCATTAAACGGATGATGGCATCAGCAAACACAATCAGGCTGCTTGCAGAGATGCACATCACCCCAGGCCTCCTGTCCTTGCAGAGGCACACACACATCCTTGGCTGCAACACGAGGGAATGGAAGAACTGCTTGAAGATGCTTTCTACTCTATGTATGCAGTGTGAGTAATACTTGAGAAAGTCACAGAGGCTTAGAACTGATTTAAAGTAGACCTCATAACCTACACTGGTGGCGATGCTGACTGCATAAAGTCATGCTTACTCTGCAAATGAGTAAATGATGTAAGTCATGGAAAAATCCTCACTGAAAAATGCAACACTTCCTTCACTGGGTGTTTTATGACAGCACTGTGTGCCTCAGAGTGAAAGATTGGGGTTCTTACAGCAAGCGCCATATATTAAGCTAGAACACTTGTGAAATGACTTGGGAAGAAAGGGTTTTAAAACAAGGAATATTGTATATAAAATCCCTGATCATAAATATTAAAGTTGTATCTGGTTCTGAACAGCCATGTACAACAAAACCAACTTGGCTCCCAGCGTGAGCAGTTACACAGATGAGCGGTAATACTTCACTTTCCACCGTTTAGATCTCATTCGGAAAAAAAAGTACATGATCATCAAAAATAAAGATGAGGCTACATACAGGACGACACACAGACTCATGTCTATGTTGGAAAATCCAATCCCTAAGAAAATCACAGACTGCCTGCTCTCCTGATGGTTAGCGGACTCAAATGCACTTTTACTGCTGTCCTTGACAGGTCCATGCTTCCCTATGAGCGTATTGAACAGCTTAGATTCTGAATCTCTTATCTGTTCCTGGTTCAGGACCACGTCTTCTCTATTTCCACCTGGTTTCTCCAGCAGGCTTTTGTCTTTCTCCTCCCTTGCATCTTTTAGTTCAGTATCACTGGAGTCAGTCTGGCTCTCAGTGTATTTATAAAGAATATTTTCACTGTTGTAGTGATGCTTCATGAACTGCAGAACTTGGGCCTCGTTCCAGCTGTGCAACCCTTTAATTTCCTCGTGACATGCAGGACAGAGGTCTGGAGTTGGCCACTGAACTTTGGGAAATTTGGGGTCTTCTGTCAGATCACCTGATTGAGAGAAGGAAAAAAGTGCATCAGAAATGAATGAGTGAAGCAAGCTGAAACTGCAGTGTATATTTCACTTATAAATAGTGAGGCTGGAAAACACACACCAAAAAACCCACCACAGCACAGCAATGTTTGCATTAAACTGAAGGCAATCACAAATTAAACAATTCATGACTTTCCTGGTGGGTGCATCCACTGTTCCAAAGCACTGCTTCCTCCTCTAAGGTACAAACACTATCAGTTATTTTCCTCTTCTCCCACTAAAAGATGCAGCATTCAAGTTCCAATACAACAGGATCCACAAGTGCTGTGGTGTTGGAAGGCATGAGAACACCACCATCTGGGCCTTTCAGGGTTAATTTGAGTTATGGTTTGTAACAAATGCTCTTTTGCACTGGATGCTCTTTAATCTTCCAGCCTGGTTTGCAGTAAGCTGTTACAAATATTTGTCTCTGCTATTCAAATGGGAGAGCACAATGCCTTTCAGATGTCTTACAATAAAAATCACTCTGTGATTTTGTTTCAGTAGAGAAAACAGAAAAAAAACAACTTATGTTAAGATTACCAACAGAAAACTTACTGCACTTCGTGTTCCCCTGCCAAAAAGAATGCACACATTTTGTACCAGGAATTCAGTAGGGCAGAGCTACATACAGCAATCTCATAACCCACACCTGAAGTCTGTGCCAAGGTGTTTTCAGTGACCATTCAAACATTATTTCTCACTGAAGGCTATGTATGTTGCCAGAAATACAGGTGCAGCTTTTAGGGATTAGAAGAAGTTGCTGTGCCAAAGGGAAATTTTAGTAAACTTAAAATGCATTATTTGACACTGTTATTTATTCACAGAATCACAGAATGGCCAGGGTTGGAAGGGACCCCAAGGATCACAAATCTCCAACCCCCTGCCACATGCAGGGCCACCAACCATCCCACCCAATGCTAGACCAGGCTGCCCAGGGCCCCATCCAATCTGGCCTTGAACACCTCCAGGGACGGGGCATCCACAACCTCTCTGGGCAGCTGTTCCAGCACCTCACCACTCTCTCTGTAAAGAATTTCCCCCTGACGCCCAACCTCAATCTCCTCTCCCTCAACTTCAAACCATTTCCCCTCGTCCTGCAGTTATCTACCCTTTCAAAGAGTTGATTCCCCTCCTGGTTGCAGGCTCCCTTTAGGTACTGAAAGGCTGCAATGATTCACACCGCAGCCTTTTCTCCAGGCTGAACAAGCCCAGCTCCCTCAGCCTGTCCTCACAGGGGAGGTGCTCCAGTCCCCTGATCACCTTCATGGCCTCCTCTGGACCCTCTCCAACAGCTCCCTGTCTTTTTTGCACTGGGGGCTCCACACTTGGATGCAGTACTCCAGATGGGGCCTCACAACGTATTCCAGTACGTTTACACTTCTTAGTAAAAGTGTATTTCAGCCAGCTGTTGCATCATTTAAATCAATATCCATGTGGGTTTTCCAATGACTGGATGCTCTAAAGCAGCACATTGCTCCACCATGTAGGAACTCCACGTCAGCAAGATGTGACTCCCTGTGTTCTGTCTGGCAATAGTAGCAAACATTCAGGGATGATTTTTTTTTATTATTATTTTAATACCTCCTCAGACACTTCTTTCTTCTTGGAGAAAGGAGACCAACTGCCTCTACTCACAACAGTATTTAATACTTCATAAATCTTGGGAATTCAGCCTAACCATGATATAAACACAGTGTAGCATAATTAAATTGTAACTAATGCTACATTACACAGATCCATAACAGTAGGCAAGGATTAAGTGCAAAGAGAAACCAATTTTCTTTAGTGCTTTAGCTATTTGATATCCCCATAACAGAACAGATTAAATACAACCCAGTATTTTAGCTGCATTTTTAGTCCTACTGAAAACATAGCAATCGAGGCAGGGGGGGAAAACAGATATTCTTCATATGGCAATTTTATTTTATTTGGTTTTGATCTGATAATAGTTCAGGCTCTTTTATCCTGAGAAAGCCTCCTCTTCAATTATCACCCTCTCCTCTACAGCATCTTTCCAGAACAAAATGAAGATGAGTTTTAACATCTGCTTAAATTGTAGTGGAAAGAAAATTATTTTTATCCACTAAGTAGCTGAACTGTATTGCTCCTTTTGGAAAAGGCTTTGTTTTGTATTCAGCATCTCATCAAGCAACAGGTGACATCTCAGAAGGAGCACTATCTCTGAGAAGCTTTTTCACTCCATGTCATAAGAGATAAACTGTTCTATTGGAGGGTACCTCAAGTGTGTATATTCCTCAGTCATGAAAAAGGTTACCAGGCTGATCTTTAGAGTTACAGCATCTCAGTCAGCTTTAAGTTTTGCTCTGCATACAAACACCCTTAAGGCTGTTGACCTTGTACACCAACATAGTTACAGAGCAGGTCTTAAGTCAGTATTTCATAGGGGGACATTAAGCTGAGACAACAGTTGCTGTTGGTTGGAACCCGTATTGCAGAGTACTATTTGCATGCATATTTGTTCCAATACAAACTACACTGTATAAAATGCCACAGCCCTTCAGGCACAGCTACCTCGTGTGGGTTTTCCTAAGCAAGGCCTTCCATACCTGCAAGTCTGTTATTGACTACATTGTGTTTCTCCCAGAGCCAGAGAACAGCCTTGTCCAAGGTTTGCACTGAGTCCACGGATTCCTTCGCCATCTCCTCGAAGTGCTGAGCACAAGCCTTGCATCCGAAGAAGTGATGGATGTATCTCCGCATGACCTCAAGCACTATCCTGGGATTGTCTTCAAGACCTAGAAAGGCAGATGAGAGATGCATTCAGCACCTTTGGGACAAACACAGCTTCAGTGCATGCTGTGCATAACACACCTGAAAGTGAGCCACAGGAAAAGGAAAGGAAACATTCTCTTCTCATCCCATGGATATGAACAGCTCCAGATGCACAGAACCAGCCACCTTTCTCACTGATAGGTGTCCACAGCACACGTGCAATCATCAGCACCAGAACCAAATGCTTGCCAAATTAAACAGCTCATGATGCAGTGTCTTAGGTTGGGTGAGTACCAACTGCTGCAGCTGAACACACCCACCTGATAGGAATTCACAGCACAAGGTTTGTAGATTACATGGTAAAGGGTTCCAGTGCTTCTGTCCCATTCTGGCAGTGAATATCAGAGGCTGTACATGCTCAGAAAAAAATCCTTAGCAAAACATATTCAGAACTGCTAGAGTATTTGTCTGCTGCCTGTGTAAGAGATGCATGGAGACTCCATAGCACACCTTTACTTAGAGCAGAGATGTTATTAAAACCAATGAAAAGCAAACAATCTCTGCTCAGATGTTCCATATCTGTGATTGAATAGGCATGTATAAATAAAAGCTAGGAGATTACAGCAGATTAATTTACTATATTACAAGAAAGGCTAAAAAGTGTTTTGGAAAGTTGAAATGAATTTCAGACAAAAGAGTTTCATCACATATACTGACTATGAATTTAAGAATAAAATTAAGAAATAACTACTAGCAAACAATCTCTTCATGTAAAACAGATTCAATTACAAATTTAATTGTATCTGTTCTCCTGTGTAATGCTACATTCTTGAAGTTTCCTTCAAAATTCATTTTCTAGAGAGGGCTTTCAAATTTAGCAACGGATTAAAAGATTCAGATACAGTTAAAAATCCACAAGCAAGTCTTATCCACACCAACAGATCCCATTAATTGAGAACTCTTCCATACAAACGAAGGATGTCCAGGATGAGATTTTTGCAGTGATTTTTATCTGCCCTCTGAAGTGAACAATTCTGTGTTCAGAGCTCCTTTGGGTTCCCCGATGTTCATCTCATTGCAGCTTCAAATTACACAGGCTAACATTAAAACACATCAAATTTAAAGCAATAAAAACATTCTATCAAGAAAATCACGATAAGTTTATGCTGGCTGCTGCCAGACTCTGCAAGGAGTGGAAACTATCAAGAAAAATCCAGCTGGTTTAAAAAGGAAACAAACAATTGCAAAATGGCTCATTTTGTTTGTTTTTCTTTTATCAGCCCAGAGATGAATCTTCTATTAACATCTGCCATGTATCATCGTGTAATCCTCCTTTTCTCTTTCCTCCCAAACTACAGCAATTCAGGGTAACCCTAATCTTTAAAGTGGACAAGAACCATAAAACCCTACCTGTGGTGGGAAGGATTAGGGAGTACATCATGCTTTTTAGTAGATGGGATTTAAACAAGCAATAAGGAGAGGAAAACCTCCCAAGACATAATCCGACAGTCTCAGACTGACCCAATTCTTTTGCCATAAGAAGTGATCATCACATATCTGCCCCGATTTAAATCGATGGTTAAAGTGTGCTGAAGAGTTCTCAGGTTCTGCAGTGTATTTTTAACTTCAGACTGACTAAAGCCTGGAACATGGAAGCAATGCAAGATGTAGTTTTGTATACCTAGATATTCAGAACGTTTTTCAATTCGATTCAAGCAGTTTCAGCAGTTTGCCTCAGAAAAGGGCAATTCAAGTCCTGCACGATGCTGCTGCACAGCTCATACACCATGCAGCACAACAAAGAGATTCAGCCTATTGTCCCACGAATAACAAACAAAACAAGGCAAAATGAGAGGGGAAAAACCCCTACAGGATGATGAGATAAGCTACTCAAAGTATGCCTGTTTTGCAGGGCGTTCAACATTAAGAATTGAGTTTTTCCACTGTGATTGCAAACTATGCTAGACAGATAAATGTATCCAGAATTTGAAATATATACGTATTTGATGTACAATTGACAACTGGAAAACTGCAAACTACTGTTACCATGGCCTGGTAGCACTCCACCTAGCATTCTTTGCAGAAGATATTAAAAGCCTTGAAATTAAACAACAAAAACTAAATGGAACAATAAGCAAACAATGCACTGTCCTGACAAGAACAAAATCAGATGAAGAATAATATTTCAGCATTCATTTTCTTTCCATTGTGCTAAGACAGTATCTATCTGTGCAGAATGTTTCTTAAATAGGAACCAACATCAGAACATTAACACTCTTTCAAAGATACTGCAAGCCTAAAAACAAGGGATTTTACCAAGCGTTTGCAAAGGAGTGAGTGCCTCACACTGCAACAATTAATGGGCACTATGGGAATTCAGCTGATCTGTCTTGAAATTGTGCATTTCTGAAATAAAATTTCAGAAGGACTGACTAATGGCTGTCCAGCTTTTCTCTCTGCTAAACCCTATGGTTTCATCTCATTCTTCTCAACCAGTGCAATCTCATAGTCTGACCAGTCTTCCTCCCTTTTCAGGTGGTTCAGAATTTCTTCCTTTGAAATTCCCCCCCTCCTTCCCGTCTTATTGCTCACTTCCCCAGGGCCACTTTCCTACTTTATTTACCACATTTCCAAGCAAGGACAAACTGACACACTTTCTTTCAAAGCCTTCCCACTGCAGTAAAGCTACGCTCTGACCCCTGCTGGCAAAAGCCTGCAAACTGAGCCTGGAAAGACACTGTCCATGAATGTATTAGCTAAGAATTTACAGGAAAAAGATTGCTTGAATCCATTACTTATTTTCTTGTCTAGCAGAGCTGCTGTGTGTTTTTGCCTCCCCCTTCAAGAACCTCACATAACTGCTACTTACCTGTATTTATCAGAGCTGTTGGTCGCAGCGCAGCTTGCACAGTTAGGGTATGAAACAGCTTCCAAAGGGAACAAGTATAGCCTCTGAGCTCTGGCCTGCTGCCCTGACAGCCAACCCACTCCATTCTCTTAGTGAGAAATATCCCAGAAATCTGAAAAGAATACATGATTCAGATACATACAGCTCTGGGACCGAGATTAACTTCAACATCTGTAGAAATGATACTTCACTCCAAAGCCCATTTCTAAACTCACCCGTCTTGCAAACACATTACATGACATACACACACAGTCAGTGATGTTAAACCTGCCAAGATACACATCAGGGATGTCTGATTAGACTGCCAGGATACCTTAAGCAGCTTAACTTCTAGAGACTTTTTTTTAAGCACAGTATGAAAACAAAACACACTGCTGTAAGCTGTGTTACAGCTTCCGTGGGCACAATAAAAATTGTGCATCACTCAGCAAGATCTATGGAATTTACAGCAGTAACATCTTAAGAGGATCGGATGTAAAATTAATGTTTATTACTTCTTAAAACTACTATTACAAATGAAAATCTTGCATGGATTTCTTTCCAGTGATTCATCTCCCTGATTCCTAAAACACACGTCTGCTTTTAAATTCCAGATAGCAATCCCACTTCATGGGAAGGAAGACTCAAATTAACTTCTGTGCAAAGACAGCTCCATCACAGTGCTTTTCATTACCAAACTGAGATGGGATTCCTGACCATACGAAGTCAGGAAATTAAATAGGAATAATGAAGAATAATTTACCCTTCAATGGGTAAATTTTCCACCTTTTAAACTCTGAACTTAAGAGAATTCTGCTGATAGCAGGCATAGCAAATAAAGCCAATTCTAAAATTTCTCTCATGGTCTGAAGCTGACATTAGGGAAGGTAGCAACTGCTTGCTCATAAAACCATGCCAGGATTGTCTGCTCCAATTCTCTCATTCCAATTTCTTCATGTGGATTTTTTTTTTTTTCTGGCAATGATTTCACTTTATTTTCATTTTAACCTTCTTATAACTCCATTACGGCTGAGGGACCATCAGTAAGTGATGCCTTAGATTTATATAGAATCTTATCCTTTACTAATGCTGTATTTTACACTGGAAACTAGTAACAGCTTACCCGCATTTTGTTGTTGACCAGATCTAGAATAGCATCATAAGGGATTTTGTCTAATGGAAGGCTCACCAGCCACTCCTGCAAGGTCTCTAACAACTTCACCACAGGCTGACGGCCAGGAAAAAGCTGAGGATATTAAAAAGAAAAAAGAATATAGTAATATTTGAAAGCACAACTTTCATCAGCAGCATGACAGTTTGTGTTTACCTAAATGTGTTTTCTTGTCTTTGAAATGCATTAACTAAGTTTCATAGACAAGATTTTCTTTTGTTGTGTGCTTGTTCTGTTTATCAGTAAATCCCACAGTAACTCACCAAATTTAACACACTGCATTTGCAAAATGTTAACCAGCACGAAGATACTCAATCTCAAGCAGAACAACCTTGGACAGATTACACAGAATTTTCTATGAAGGTAATTCAGCTAAACATACAGCTTAAGGAGCATAAGACCTAAGAAAGGCTGAAATCCTTCCTCACTCTTTGGATATAAATCACAGCAACTGGTTCTCATAATATTTTTATTCTGGTTTTTGTAAGCATTGATGATGGTAGTTATCTAGAAACATAACTTGCCTTTTCATATGTGTAAAAGTGATTTCCAAAGTGGTTTGGAAATGAGGATTACATTAACTTGCAAGTTAAAGTAGTCAAGCTCTGTCAGACAAGCACGAGGAACTGTAAATATCATTATTATACACTAGAAAAGCTTGACTGATTGTTGTATTTACTATAGAATACTATAGAATATACATCTTCTAAGTACCTTTCCAGAGGAAGGGGAAACCAAGTCCCTGTATCTGCTGTCTCAAATACATTTCATGCATTTAATAGGTGTCAGAAGATGCTCTGCACATACAAGTCCCTTTGCAGCCACTGTCCAACTATACAACTAAAACAGCATACTTCTGTACTAGTCAGCATCTATAAATCACATTTACTCCTGTAGGAATCTCAAAATATCATGCATTACTACCTAAAAGACAATAGTAGCAGAGGGTCTCTGGTAGATATATTTCATGGAAGAAAAAAATAAAACCTAATTCTACAATAATGAAGATTTCCCTAGTAGGAGGTCAGAGATCAGATCCCTGGATTTAGAATTTAGCATCATTTTAAATGCTGTTAAACAGGAGGATAGGATAAAAAGTGTTGGAAGTCCTGATTCACAAAGCTGTTGTTATGGATTGAACGCTGGGAACTTTGTTAAAAAGGAAAGCAAGATACAAAGTTTAACTTTGAAATCCAGTGCCCTGAGCATGCAGAAAGATGCACATAATTACAGTACCAACACTGCAAAGTCAGCATTCTGACTGCCTCAAATGTAAACAGTCCACATGTCAATATGTGGGAATTGTGCATGAGAACCAAGAGCAAAGCTTTGCACAACAAAAGAATGCAAATAAGTGACAGGAGCCCCACATATACAATGGCAATCTGGAGATGAGCGTGCAACAGCATTCCCCATTTATGCACTAATAGCCAGGGAAGCAAATGACATAAGCTGGCCAGGAGCCATCAGGAAGAACAGAGGATGTTTTAGGGATAATATGATGGAAAGATTACCACCACACTTTCTTAAAGAAATGAGGCCAGCTAGAGATTTCTGACCTCTGATGGCCGCAGGGGGGCAAAAAAACTGTCTGATTGATAGACCCAGAGAGCTGGGAATAGATCACACAGCCCTTATTGTTCCCTTAAACAGGAATTGGTTTAGGTATTTTAAATAAAGCCAAGTGTTAGCAGTCAGTAAGTAGATCTAGGGAGTCTGCTCATTTCAGAAAGCTGATGTTACAAAGTTAAATTTCATTTTTTTCCAAGTCACATCACATACGTTGCTTTTATTACAGGTATGATGTGTGCATCTTCATTTTTGAAATACTCCACCTCAATCACATTCAAAATTCAGACTGAAATTTTAGAAATTTCTAAATAGAACACTACTTGTCAAGCATGCAAAGTCCAAAATTAAACAATGAAAGAATACTTGTACTCACTGAGTTAAAAAAGTTATATATCCCAAAGATCAGATAAATGGACTGTATTCATAGCACTCATTCAGTATGCTGCAGACTGCTTAACCTTTATTCAAATTTGATCTCTCTGAGATGAATTTAAAATGCATTTCATCTCTTTAAGGATACCTGAACGGTATAAAGTAACTCAAAAACAAAATTAAAGAAATTCACAAAACTATTTTTTTAAGCTATTGGGAAAGCACATATTTAAATATATTCCGAAAGACATTTTGAGAAGCTTACACCACAATAAATTTTATGTTACAGTCGTTTTTTCTTAATATAATCAAGGAGCAGAAGCACATACCTTGGCAGAAATGGTAACAAAATCCTTGAAGGTCTTCAGCTCAGCTCCCTCAAGCATCTTGTGTGTAGCAAGCTCTACCCGGAACAGGTAATGCAATCCAGATTCAAGGTCAGCCATGTACAACTTCGATCTGAAACACAGATAAATAACATCATGACAGGGCTCTTTCACTCATTTTCTCATCAGTCACGAAGGTAAAATTGATATATAGTAGGTGTCATTAAAACCTCTACATTTGCCACTCCACAAGGATTGCAGTATATCCTGCAGCAGGCACGGGGAGATGCAGCAGTTGCTTCAGGTGCTGGGAATGGTGTCAAGTTCATTGAGAAACACTGCACTCTGCTGAAGTAGTTCTGTATCACTCTGCTCTGAGATAAGGCACGTGAAGCAAAACCACACTTAAGCTTTTTGTTTCCCAGCCAGCTCCACCTTGCAATGAAATTACAAACCATTGTCAGCAAGGAAGTAGAAATTGCAGCTTCTCTCCAGAATCTGACACAAACGGTAAAATTACATGCTACCAAAAAAGGGAGACTCCTGCTTAACATACACAGATGATACACAGAGCAGAGGTGCAAGCAAGCCTGGCAAAAATCATTTCTGGAAAGGACTGAACCTGGAAATCCTCTCCCAGATGCAGCAGTAATGCTGCAGGCTCCTTGGATACAGAGTTCTTTGCAAAACAATTAATTTTATTTACATCTGCTCTTAGTTGTACTTGCCATAAGATGTATAAGTAAAACACCTAAAGTAAATTAAATATTTTAACAGTTCATTCTCACAACCAAACATCTTTATAACAACAAGAGGTACTTCAGATAAAATGCATCAGGTAAAACATCCTATCTTTCAATGTTCTCAGAGCCCAACCTTTGCACTGTATCATGCAGAGCAATGTAACTGAACAAACAGAAGTTCACATAGTATTCTTTTGTAAGAGCTCAACAAGATCACGATTTCCAAGCCAAACAAAAACAAACATACAACAAGTCAGCTGCCTCCACCTCTAAAATTACATGCACAAATTAACATATGTTAAAATGCAAGATAATCTACATTTTTAACAACTCAAACTACAAACTTATTTTGACATATCTCCTTAGTTAATAATGTACTCACTGAAATTGGGGGAAAAAAAGAAAAACTCTGCTGACTTCAAGTTTCTTAAACACAGATCCATTCGCGTGCATAAGGGTCTCCCAGAAAAAGCCCATTTGGAAGATACTTGGACTGGAGATTCATATCAACAAGATTTTGGCTTGCTGGGAAGCAGCTACATTTAACTAAGCTGTTTTAATAATACACTGTTTTATGTACATCATTTTACAATAGTCACTGAAAGAAGATGACACTAATAGTGTCCAAAAAAGGAAAATAAGTACAAAATGAAAGCACTCAGTCCTGTATCTTTTCCATCTAAAGATGCTGAGGGATTATCTCTCTGCAAAGCCTTTGTATCCTTCTCTCAAACAGAGAATGGGGAAAAAAGGGTAAAGATAAACCTCATCAGATTTGGTTTGGCAAACATCTTTCACAGTGACTTTAGCATTTTCAACTGTATTTGCATTTGTTGAGCACTGCTTACTTTCCAATACACACAGAGAATAATCATTTTCTACAGAAATGTGCTATAGCTTGTTGCTTTAGTGTTTATTTTTTCAGGGAATTGATTGAAACGCTGCTCACAAACACAGAAATGCTACCTGCATTTAGCAGAAGCTGTAACCTTGGTGCTGGAAATGAACTAATTCAGTGTCATTTCAATATACTGAGAAACAGATAAAGCTGAAGCAACAGCTGAAGCACTGCTTTCAGCTTTGGTGCTGTAATTTCTCCAGTAATAAGCATAAATGCCTTAAATTTTATTCTGCAGAAGAGTGAAGATCAGAAAGTCTGATCAACACATTCAAATCAAGCTACATCAGACGGGATGGAAAGAAATATAATTTTCATCTGCACCAGAATTTTATAATGACAGGGCAGCCTCCTATGTGACAAAAAGAAACTGCTTGTGAATTTTAATAATCGAGCATTGATCTGAAAGTCAGTATTGCTTACTTATCAAATTCCTTCCATGGCTTGATCTCTGTGCTCTCCTCTTTGTTTCCTTTAGCAGGCAGCTCAAGTGGTGAAAGAAGTTTCTTTCTTACACCTGGCAGCGACTTCAGATACGAAGAAAAGACCGACCGTAGGGGCTTCAGACTGGGTGTAAATGGACAAAATTCAGATTATTTTTCATCTCGGATTAATAAAACATCCAAAGCAAATCAGTATATTTATAACATATTCACTTTGTTCTCCGTTTCTATTTTGATAAATGGTGATGGCTTTAGGAATAGTAACAAAAATAACTGCGATTAGTGGTTTGAAATTCCACATGAGTTAAGAACATCAGGTTCATCAAAATACCAACTTGCCTTACACAGGGAATGCTCACATGGAGCAAGTATTGTGACTTAGAAGCAAGCTTCTCAGACGTTGGATGCATTGCTAATTTTTTTCATTTTTATTCCAAAGTGTTTTCCTTTCAGATACATCATAGCAATAGCCACAAAAACTATAGATAGGCAATAATGGTAAGCAAGCTAATATCAAGTCTCTTATAAAAATATACATATATATAACAATATTAAATGCTTCATTAGGAACTGCACACAGCTATCAGCATATGCAGCTCCAAATAACAAGCAGCCAGCTATTTCCAGACAAACACTATGAAACTGTCTATTTCAAAGAAAGTTTTACCAGTAAATAATCTTCAGTGCAGTAAAGCAAGCCAAGGGTTACAAGGTTATAAGGCCACAAGACACTTTCATACCAACTCTTTCTACTGGCATAATCCATCTCTACATATTATAAGCATTAATAAAGAGCAAACTGTATAATGAGACCACTAAATACAATTACTCAATAACAGCTGAAGTGTGCTCAGGACAACTTGCAAACAGGAAGGAATCAAACACAGTATACTGAGTACATTCTAAGACACAATGTCATCATACATGTGCAAAAATGATTATAAAATAACTTACTTTGTATAAAAGGAAGCTATAAAGAACAGTTGCTATAGCTTAGGTGAATCCCCCTATGTTCCCTTGAGACAGAAACTACTTACCTGTTAACCAACCCGTGTGACCCATTAGGATGCATCAGGTAGCATGAAGGGACTGAGGTAATCCCAAGTTTCTCCAGGAAAGACTTATCAAAATTCAGTGCTCTCTTTACAACAATGTTTTCATACTGGATCAAATCTAAGATAACCTGGGTAACAAAAAGGTAACACAAATTAAATACATTGTTGGTGGAATACCCAATCTTGCAGGACAAGACAGGTAAGTAAGCAAAGTGCATCAATCCTTAAACTGCTCGCCAAGAAAGTGCATCTGTGAGTATTCTGTGAACACCATTAATATCAGGTGAAGATTTACTCTGCAAGTTATTTACTCCTACCTTCAATTCTTTGATCTATTCTGATATTTTTCTTTTCAAATCTAACATTTGAAGAAAACATGAGAATGAATGATGAAATGTCCTCAAACCTCAAAATAGAGCAGGGAATATTCCATAGGCAACAATAGATATGTTTTGTGCTACATGTGCTAGGTAAGTTTCCACTACATTTTTCCTTTTGGGGTACATATTATCTTTGCTATGTTTCACCTCACTTTCAAACTTGTAATTTAAAAGACCCCTCTTTTAATCAGTAATAAAAGCACAGACTTCATTTCTTCAGCTGTTGTGACTTCTATTAGGTTTGTCTATATCATCTAGCACTGAAAAACTGAAATTAATGTTGTTTTCTATTTTATCAAGCTACTTTATAAATACAGAATTCTACATAACGTTAGCAAATATTTAGCCTTCTGAAAGCAGATTCTATTCTTCTTACTCAGATGACAATCTGCTTTCCCTGCAAAGGGGAAATAGTCTTAAAATCGGTGTGACAAAATGCAAGAGAACTTCATAATCATTACCTCCTTTTTGGTACTGCCTACAAGTACCAAAATAGCAGCTTCCAGAAACCAAATGTCTGGAAGCAGTCTGCTTCTCAAAGTGATTCTTGTTTTTGGCAGCACACCCTCCTCCACTTATACAACTCAGTCATCTTGGCATCAAATCTAATTAGAAACATTTCACAGACACCGGATGTTTCTGCACAGATTATTCCCAGATAATTGTGCAGTTTATTTACTTTACTTATTCTAGATCTTGGCAGCAAGAGAAAAGTAACAGCTCTAGGCGAACAGCAGGCTCGTTAAGTGGTGAAATGATGCCAAATCAAATACTTTATTGGGGGGGAAGGAAAGATCAAAGACTTTCACTTCCTCAGTGGCTCAGAGTGGAAACAATTGCATGCTATCATTTAAATTAGAACTACTAATATTATGAATGTTTTTCTAGCAGTAACAAAACATCTGACAATATTTTTGTTGGGATTTTCCTGCTCTTGAAACAAAAGAATTGTGCTAACAATGAAATAGATAAATTAATCTTCCTCTCAAGTGGGAACAGAAGTTAACATGACGGCACACATTTGTAAGCAAGTTCTTCTGCATAATTAAATACAACAGCCTCATGTAATCACTTGACTTTATGATATCTCAAAAAACACAACCTGACTTTGAGCATCCTTCAATCCAGTCCTAGAATCACAAGTTTTCTTGCCTGACTAACATAAAGCTCAACTGTTTTATAATAACACCCTTTCATACTCACTATGTCATAAATCATGCATTACCTCTCGGCCAATGTAGGAGTTATTATTTTCAACCACAACAGCAGTATAATGAGGGGTTTTCTTGTCGAAGAGAGAAGTAACATCACTGGACCTTTTAAGAAAAGATAAAGCATTTAGACAGGAGAATGCAATAAGCTCAGTGTAATCAACAGAACTTCCTTTTACTATTTTGTAGTAGTATTGATAACAACAACAATAAAAAGCTTACTTTATCTTTAATAAGACTATCTATATTATATTTAATTAACACAGCAGGCATACATTAGCTGCATTTTAAACAAGGCACTTACGAAACTGGATCCAATGGTGGGCAAGCAGGAGGTCTTGACTCTTGGGAATGGTTCTGCAAGAAGTCAACCATCATCTGGCGAACTGTTTGCAGCTCACGATCTGCTCCTGCTGAGTCCAAGGTACAAAAACATGCAGTGCTTCAGACAACTGGTAGCAAACACTTCAGGTGCAGGTTTTCATACATTCTCATACTTTCCTGCAGCATTTTTGGTTTTTGTTTGTTTCACATTCAGACTGGGAAAAAGAGGCACTGTTTCCTGTCTGATGAATAGGTATCAAGGATTGAATTGTAAGACTGCAATTTAAGGTCAAAATGAGAACTGAAGAACAATCAACCCATCCCAAAATTTATAAAATATCAAGACTTACAAATCTATCTGCCTGCCTTGCTGGTTCTCTCTCAAAACAACATTTCATTCCAAATGTGTGCTTGTTTCCACAGCAGTTGCAGTGGGAGATTCTAGCAGCCTTTTTTCAATAAGGATATTTGTGATGGATTAAAAACTGCAGACGTGTAGCATTCATACCAAATGGGACAGGTGACCTTACAAAGCCACATAACATAAGGGAATAACTGACCTGTGAGATCATTTTATTAGCTTTAAAAGGAATAAATCGAAATGCAGGAGCTCTCACAAATACCAGAAGTAACAGGTACAGCTACAGCCCAATTCTACACAAAGGGTTAATGGTGCAGGTGGTCCTTCTTCTGACCTTTGGCCTTTTAAATGTTAATCCATTAGAAAAGACAACATTACTTTTGTCCCCAGACAAACCACCTCAAGCTGTGATCCTGTCAAACACAGGGGATAAGCCTGCTTTCAGTTAGTCAACATCTGAGTGGGGGTTCCCCCAGTGAAATTCAGGATGCCTGGAAACTGACTGACAGTTCAAAAGGCACCAGAGCCACAACTGAGCAAACTGCATCTCAGGCTGCAGAGATGTGGGCTGGTTTTGTCCTTTGGGACTTTTTTCTCCCACCCAAATGAGGGCAACTCACACTTGCAGTAGGATATTCTTACCTTTGTAATTTTCTCCAGTTGTAAACTGCTTTGTAAATGCTCTGAAGAACTATGGGGGAAGAAAAAGAGAAGTATTACTGATTTTAAAAACTCACTGTTAAAGACAAAAGCTCTGGTTTCACACAGTCGTTTTTAGTTTGTACAGCTGTTATTACAAAACATTTCTATCTCTCCATTCATATAGTTCATATATTTCTCCATTCAAAATAGTTTTTATTCCTAGCCTATAAGTTCCAAAGATCTTGGTAGAGCATCAGAATTTCTAGTCAATACTCTCGGCAAATCAGCTGATGGTTTTAGGTATCATAAAACACACCTCATTTACCTAAGACAATAAATGCATCATGGCACTTACCCTTACAGTTGGATAGAAGTGAATCCCATACTCCTTGCATGTCTCATAGTTCTCTTCTTCCCCGCAATCCAGCACACCAATCCTAATTGCAGATTCCCAGTCTGAAAACAAAAATATATTTCCATTTTCAGTAGAAGCGACCATGGATCCCAGCTGGCAGACTGGCCTGCTTCCCAAGGAGATCAACACAACTCTGATAGATTCCAGTACACAGAAACCAAGCCTTAGGTTGGTCCTTGTTCACAGACATTTCTATCCTCAAGATGAACAAAGGTCATTGAAACAACTAGAACCTCCCTGCTGGTTGGGCTTCTGTTTGTTTGAAGCTGCAGCAGTATTCCCAATACATCTGCAGTATATTCCCAATAAGAAGAATCCCAACATACAATGTGACAATTATAGGACTGAAGATTTTTTTCTAATTGAGTCCAAGAAGATGAAATAGGGTCCAACCCAACAGAAGGTACCAACTCAGTTCCACAGCTTTTCCTATCAGCTAAGCCCATAAATAAGCATGTGGAGCATATTTAAATGAATAAAATAAATCCAGTAGTTTCTCACCCACAAGGCTGACAATTACGAAATTGCACATTTGATGCACATAACAGCAACGTTTCTGTAGTTCCCCAAAACAATTTCTGGAAGGAAAATGTTGCTGGATTTGGGACAACTGTGCAGAGAAGTGGATTGTTTGTGCATATAATTCGAGGGTTGTATGTGGGATCACAGTTAATTTTCACACAGGCTCACTGCTTACTGAACTCACAACGTTCTCAGGCCTCCAGATCTGCATTCACCCCAACACTTACATTTTGCCCACTGGAAGCTGTCTTTGCTTTTTAGTGCTCCTCAGGTACATTCAGGATATGCTTCTAAAATACCCGAGTTTTAACAGGAGTGCTACAGAGTTGGGTCCCCACATCACTAAATTTCCTAATTTCCTTTATAAATGTTTCATGGGAGTAACCACAAGAGTTGAAGTATTTCCATAAATGCACCTACATAACTTCAATAAAAGCTTTCAAATCATTCATAGCTTTTTCCTTCTCATTTTGCCAGCAATGCTCTGCTGCAGCAATCACTTTAAGAAGAACTGCTCCAAGAGACTCCTTATGCAGTTACTTTTTACAGCTAAGCTGAATCAAAACAGCTGTGGGCAGAATTTGAAGACACACCATAACTCCCAAGGATCAATAAAATATAAAATAAGCACTAAAATTAAATTTGCTTTTATAGCAAAGAGCCCGAAAGCTTCATCAAGTTCAAGATCTGATTGGATGCCTGGCTGCTGTTGAAATTTAGCTTGACCTTTCCTTGTCTTTGAAGGAGGATGGGGCAGCTGAGTGGGAATCTCACAACATGCCAACAGCCCAACAGGCACAGCAGGAACTACAAGCATCCTGGAGCAGATGGACACACATTCACACCAACACAAAAGATACAACAGTCCATTTTATCAAATAAAATGCAAAACAAACAACAACAAAAGTCTGGCTTCTGGCTATCTCCCCCATCCAACTTTCCCCACTCCTCCTTTTTCCACCTGCCTTCATTCTCCTCCACACAATGAATAGAAGCACCATGAGCCCAATGCAAATCGCTCACTTATAACAATGAAAATGCATCTCTGGCTAAACACTTGGGTTAAAGAGCACCAGCTGGGGTGTGTGCTGCTCAGCATTTGCTTCTGCTTAGCGAGGAGCTCCTTGTTTCTAAGAGACGTGAAAACTGCAGCAGCACACAGCCTATATTGGCAACACTGCGTAGATTTGTTTCAAAGAAAACACTGCTGAGTTTTTAAATAGCACATCATTTCACATCTAGGCTGCTTCCAGCATAACAGCAACGTTTCTGTAGTTCCCCAGAACAATTTCTGGAAGGAAAATGTTGCTGGATTTGGGACAACTGTGCAGAGAAGTGGATTATTTCTGCATATAATTCAAGGGTTGTATGTGGGATCTCTAAGGGTTTGTCACTTCTGCACAGAAAACCACTACATGTAATTCCAGCCCACAGACATTCTGGTGGGTACATTCAACCATCTTTTCAGTTACCAGAAGTAAACTGTAATAAAGCTAAATGTGTGGTTAGGGAAGCAGCAGCAACAACTCTAAGACTATTCTGAGAGAAAGCATCAAAATGAAAACTGCAAACAAAGCATGCTGTGTTCCTAATTTTCCAAAGCATCATCTTTAAGCTTGCAGTGAAGTTGCCATGGTTGAACAGATGAGAAATGAAACAGCTCTCACATGAAGCTACCAATGGAAAGCATGAGTGTTCTTAGTCTTCCACTAAAACTCATCCATTCCCATTCTGAAGTGATGAGAAACATTCTGCTGCCAAATAACACCAGACAGCAATTTGCATTTGCTGATATGGCCAACATCCACAAACCTAAAAAGCCACTTTTTAAATGGAAGTCTTTCTGAAGACTTAGACTACAGCATACTGGTCCTTACCTGGTATAGCAATACAGTGTACATCATCGTAACTGCAGATAAATAAGAAAACAAGGACCTGAAGTCATTAAAAATCACAATTATTGTCTACAAAGATATCACACCACTGCAGTAAAACACAAACATTTTATTTTGAGAAGAGCTCTGCTCATTTTCAGCTCTTCATGACCTCCACTGCAATGCTCACACACCTCCTGGCTCTTTCATGTCTTTAAAAAAAGGTCTAATACTATTTTGGCCACAAGGCAATCCAATTACAAGGTGAAAATGTTATGCAAGCTTATGTAAAGAAACAAACAAACAAAAAAAAGAGCTACAGCTTATGCAAACAAGAAAAGCCATGAAAATAGCAAGGGCCTGAAGTGCTATGAAACCAATGCTGCTCTGTTTCTTGCTCTTTGAGTTTCTGCTTGGCCCAGCACGTGACAAAACCTCCAGGCCTTACTCTGGGCAGGTCCGTGCACCTAAAACCACGCACATCTAACACTGACCTACGCTGTGTGTTCATTATCGTCAGTGCTTCTCACATCCAGGGCTGCCAGAGAAGCCAGAGCTCCTCACTGCCTCTCGAACAGAAACCACATCCATGCATCAGAACTGCTGCCTCCACCGTGATATCACCTCTTGGGTAAAAAAACACAGGAGAGTTTGAAAGCTTTGAGAGCACCCACATTAAGAGCAATTTCTCCCATAATTCTGTCTCAGTTCTCCTCCTCACCACAGCTACAAACACCCCAAGCCCTGCATCAGCTCTACAAACAGAGCAGCGTCGTGCCAATAAACCCACGAGCAGATTCAGACCCAGCAGCGTGAGCGTCCCTCTGCTGACACACAGAGGCCAACGAGCCGCTTAAAAGAACGGTGTGACGACCACAAAAACGCGTGTCTCTCTTTCTATTATCACCTGGCCATTCTTTTTGCCCCTTCCGACCCACTCCTGCTCTGTTGGTTCTGCACGGCCCAACGCCAAACGCACTCGGCACCTCCAGCACTGCAGCATTTATGCGCTTTGTGCTCAGAGAACGGGACGATTCCTTTCGAGCAACCAGAAGATGAAGACCTCAGAGAGCTGGGAGGCATCTCGGCGCAGCCCGCAGCACCACCTGAGGAAGGCAGCGGGTCGGAAGGGGCCGCGCAGCTCACATCACACAGACGGCGGCATTTCGGTGCTGGGTTCCCCAGCCCATCCAAGCTGGAGGCGCAGCGCCGCTCCCAGCGGGATGCGGAACGGGGCAGCGCCCGCGGCCCTGCATCGCCCCACGTGCGGAGGCCCCGCAGCCCAGCCCGGGCCCCGCAGCCCGCACCGGAGGAAACCCCGGCGGCCCGGCCTCGCAACGGGCGCCCGCGGGGCGAACCCCGTGCCGGGCCTCACCTTTGACGTCCCCCGCCAGGGCTCGCCAGGTGGGGGCGAAGGCGATGCAGTGTCCGCAGGACGAGCTGTAGAACTGCACCACCCAGGCGGCCGAGGAGTTGAGCAGCGCTCGCCGCACCGTGCCGGCCGCCAACACGCTCAGCGGATCCTCCCCGGCCCGGTACAGGCGCGCCGCCACTCCCGCCAACAGCAGCGCCAGCAACGCCAGCGGCCAGCCGCCGCCCGCCGCCATGTTGGGACGCCGGCCGCTGAGGGCGGGGCGGCGCGGCGCGGGGCGGCGCCATAACAACGGCCGGGAGCGGGGACGCGGCCCTGCGGGGAGCCCGGCCCTCAGCCCGCCTCACTGCGGGCACCGCGCTGTGGGGAGGACGAGGAGTGCCCCGAAGGCGGGTTGTCGCTGGCGGTGCTCGCAGCTGCTCTTTGTAATCCCTCCAAAGGACCAGAGAGGAGAGCAATTGATCCAAATCCTCGCGTTTCGGTGCAGTTTCAGGGGTTAAAATCGAGGCAGCCCTGCCTGCAGCGAGATGACCTTCAGGGTCCTCTTCAGCCCAGGCTGTGTGACCGTGCACATCACGAGAACCAGCAGATTCCGCCACATTTCCCTATTTTTGCCCATTTCTTTTTTTTTTTTTCCCACCACCGTCTGAAGTTCAGTCACATCCTCCTGTCTGCGTTCACTGCTCTGAGTCATTTCTTGCCTTGCATCGAGCTCCTGTGGAGCTTTTGGTCCCTAAGCAGTAACTGGAGGTGGTTACAGCACTGCAGTCCAGTGATACAAAGGGACAAACCTTCCTGTAGGTGCTAATTAGGATTTTGAAATCTTCAGGTGTGTTAGAGCACGTTTTATTCAGAAGAACTGCTAGAAGCGCCAAGATGAAAGAGATGGATCACGGGAAAATTAAACGTGGGGTTTAACTGAGAAATAATCATTTTCTATGAAAGATAATGACTCCTCTCGAGGCTAGTATCGAGATTTATTGACCCGGGAGGTTAATATTGATCAAAACCAAGGCAAACAAAATATTAGACCTTGAAGTAGAGCCGTCTTGATATTGAAGTCTTGCCGCTGACTGAACAGGTCAATATATCTGGGTGCCAGAATCTAAGGCTTGGAACAGATAATGGCAGGGGATATTAAATATGTCTGACATGTTCTGTGCACACACTTTTTATTCTCATCAGCAGTAGTTACTTTATGGCTATGTCCTTCTGCATATAGCTATCTTGCAAGGGTTCAGGCTTCACTCACAAACCTAATTGCAAATATAATGGTTATCTTTCTCCAGTGTAGCACATAGCTGTCTGAAATTAAACAAGTTCTTCATCTATTCATTCACATATATGATGATATTTTTTGATAGCTTTCATTCCCAACACGCAAGCGATCCCGATGCTGCAAAACTATAGTGAAAATAAACTGAAAAACTGTAGTGCTTCAATATATGGATTTGTCATTGTAGCCAATAACTTGCCTGTGAGTCCAGGGGAAAAAAAAGAACACCATTGAATTAAATTCTAATAATAAGCTGACAAGAAGAAAACACTAATAACTTATCTGGATTAATTAATCAATGAGGATAAAGGTTGGGGGGGGAGGAGGGCTGGGGAAATTCTCACCCAGGAAGGAAGAGCTCATGTAGTGCTGGATCTCAGCAGTGCCATCAGCCCTAGGATTGCAAAGTAGGAAAGTCAAAGGCCCAACTAGGGAGCAAAGACTAATTAAGAGATGCTGCGGCCAAGTCTTTATCATCACCAAGTACTGCAGGCTGTATCAGTCAGTTGGTTTGGAATGAATTTGTAGCAGACTTGGAAAATGTACCGCAGGAAGCATGAAAATAGTTTACAGGATAAGTTCAGAAGTTAATGTGCTTGGGACAGAAATAATCCTTTTCATAAGGCAGCTGCTATTACTGTGCTTTTTAATGTCCCTAAGAGCTATTTGCAAAACAACAAAACTATTCCCATTCACTAATGAGAGTAGCAGCGTATATAACAATCTGAAATCAAGCAGAATGTCTGCGAAAATAAGAATGAGATACATTAGATTTATTTTGTTTATTCAGAAAGCAATTCAGTATGAAAACAGTTAAACCATCAGTACTTGGAAATAGAAACAAAGTGCATTTCATTAGACTGTAAATATTATGATTTTAAATATAAACATTTACAGGACATAAAAACTGCTGCACCATCACCTCTGTAATGGTGCTGAGCCCCTCAGGAAAAGTTTTAGACTTGTTCCCATTAGTAGAGTTTATTCCAAGAGATCAACAACAATTTACTTTCTGTAAGATTTAATTCCATCTGCACCCTGATTTTCTGAAGACAGACAGCATTGATTTTCTGAACATTTTTCTTAAGATGTGATTCATCCATCATCATTCACAACCAGAATGCAATAATGAAGAATAAGATCATTTACACATAAATTACTTTTGAACCCTGTCTGTATAATCATAGACTCCTATACAATTTTAAACCCACAAGGAGCTCTTAAAATGTATAGATGAATAAAGTGCTATCTTGATAAAAAACAAACAAACAGAATAAAATTGTCACCACCTAGATCACGTGTAACACCACTCCAAGAAGAGTATTGAGCTTAATCAGCATTTCCAAAGTTCAAAACTTAAAAAGAAAGTTTTAGGTAGCATTTTTTTTTTTTTTTTTACTTGCATCCTTTTGTTGTAAATATGAACATGTAATTTAGGCTACACTTGTATTGGGTAAAGCTCTGAATTAAGATTATTAATCGTGCATCTCTTGCCTTAGAAGTCAGGGATTAAAACTCCAAACTTCTAATCACTGGCTTTTCTCAAATAAATCTTGTTGAGCACTCTGACTGTATCAAGGATCAAGCTATCAAATATGTCTTCAGTCATGCTCATCTTCACAGTTAATTCATCATCACCGTAGTAAGTCCACTGAGATTCTTCTTTATGGAGTTCCTGAATCTAAAATATAACATGGATATTAATTTTTACTGCAAGAGCATGGTCAGTTCTGGGAGGCACCAAGGAGCTGCACCTAATCCAACAATTTTACATATGCAACACCCACTTAAAACATAAGAAATGAAAATACTGGATGATTATTGCAGGTGTAATGAAAAGGATGCCAATGACTTCTGTAAGTTCCAAAGTTACTTTAAGTAAACACAATGAAACAACATGAACATTTCTGGTTTCAGTGTAGAAAAAGTAAACAGGTCTTTGTCGAGAGGTCTGCTTACCAGAATGAGATCCACTCTGTCTCTCTCACAGTTTCCATACTTAGTCATATTAAGGAATTTTCTTTTCCTTTCTAAGTCATTCCTTTCCAGGTTCATTATTTTAATAATTTCCCCCTGAACAAATGTCTAAAAAAAAAATAAGGAAGGATGAAAAAATTGATCTCATGAGCGATCTATCACTGTGAAGCGTTGAAAATGTGTGAGAAAAGGGCCAGTGTGAAGATCTAGCATCAAATCTAGAAATGCCCCACATTTTAGGGGGCTGATTTAGAAGCAGCTGATTGATACTGACTAAACAACACATTTTCAGTGTAAGATCACTTCAGAGGTGGCACCCAAGATTGTTGTAACCATGGACATTCAGAAGCCCGACTGTCATTCTTGAGACCCCTATGCACTTGGAATATTTGGACTAGCTAATTAGTGCAGTCTGTATTTACTGAGATATTTCAGTTGCACTGCCCTAACCCTTCAAACTTAGCCACTGCGTCATTGCAATGTCTGCTCTCTTTACTCTCATTATTCTACAATTTACATTTCCAGAATTTACCTTAACCTCATCGACAGCTGTGCTTCTGCAGTGACACCTAGAACAGCAAGATCTCAAGTTTTCTTTCAACCACGGAAATGTATTTGGATGTGCAGTTACTTGATATTCCGCACGTAGAAGCTCATGAGTCAAATCGAATATAACCTGTAACACCAAAAACACAGAACCAAACTGAGTACCAAATGATACTCTTTCCAAACTTCTCTTAGTGTTTGAGAGGAGATGTCAGGCTGCTGACAGCAGGGTATTGCATCTCAGTGCAGCATTTGTGATCACTTGCATCACAGATTTTCCTCTAGCTGTTACGATAATCATTACTAACGAGTATGTAAGCCTGTACAGCAGTTGGTCTCAGGCAGTAATGTGTGATCATTCACTGAGTACAGGTGGGTTATACACAAGGCCCTGAGAGGACTCAAATCTCCCATGCAGACAGAGGTCCACAAAATTCAGTAATTCCAGAGTGCCAAGGAAGATGAAGATCCGTCCAAACTCAGAGCAGGACTTCAGAGGCGGTACACTTGGAGTCTAGACTGTAGCTTTCCAAGGAGTTTGTTTTGTCCTGACAGACCCAAATCTTATCCAGAGTCTTAGAACAGAAGACAAAAGGCTTGTATCACAGCAAGGATGCCTATCCTAGAAGAATTATTTTGCAGTTCATTAACAGAAGCAATATTTTGCAGTAGCTTTGTCAGTGTTCCTCTGCTCTACTTAGTATTAGCTGGTACCTACTGTTATTCTTGTTGCTAATGCAATTCATCCTACAGAACACTGGAAAAAAAACACTTCAAAAAAAAATACCTGATTATACATCCTCTTGCTTTCTGTTTCCAAGTCATTCCCTGGGAAGTCATTACACTCAAACTTCTTTGGCACGTTGGTTCTTGTGAAATTTGAATAAATGTTTTCTGGAGTCCATAATTCTTCTACAGCATATGCAGACAAGTTCTTAACATATGAAGTATAGTGTGGTACCACAAGGGGAACCTCTACAGTTTTCTTCCAAGGAGCTGAGTACCAGTGATCCAGCAAGTATTGCTTTTGTGTTTGTCTTTCCAGAGCACGTTCACTAGAGTTAGGCTGATCAAAATCTTTAGAGCTTCCAAAAACACCAGCATCGAGGATTTTTAAAAGGAACTTTAGTGGGGAGAAAAAGAAAAACAACAAGGTGATGTATCCCATTCTTTTCCACAGTTTTTAGAGGTATTGAAATCATTAGCAACTGATTTAGGGCTACGCTTAGAAATCAGGAATCATATGCTCTTAACTCAGGGGCTCAAATAAAGGCTTACTAATGTGTCAGAAAAAATATATATATATTTCAATTGTATTTAGTAGAATTCCAAATTAGATTCACATATTTGAATTCTATGAACGTTTTTGATATTTTTACATTTTTGTTCTGATTTGGGACTGCTTTTCCTACCCACTCCTCAAACCAAGACTTGATTTTTTTAAAGCTTTCTTTTATAGTGCTTCCCAAAGAACTACTTCGGAAGTGAAAAACGAACAGGCTGGAAATGAAAGCAGCAGGCATCAAAAGTGCCATTTCACTGGGGGTTCCAGGCTCCCCAGTAGGCTGAAGGAGAAGTGAGAGAACACTGCACGTCATCCTCCAGCTGCAAAGTTCTTTAAATGATGAATGGTTTAGTAGTTCAGTTCCATATGTCAACACAATGAACACAATGCAATTTTTGATGAAAAACAACTGGGCAACAGAAATGCTTGCAAGCATAGACCCAATTTCAGATCTAACGCTTAAGGTGACAAACTTTTCTGACTGTACTTACAGGCAAAGTAGTTGGAGAAGTCTTTGAAGATGAAGGAAATCTCTTGTCTGTTTTTACTCCTTGTTTTCTTTTAATCTTCTTATATTCCTTAACTGCATCATCTACAAATTTAGTCACAATTCTTTCTGCTATAGTGCGACAACCATGAATGCTAAGCATATTGAAATCATGCAGTAAAAGATCAGCAACCTTTGCTGATTGCTCAGTTAAGCTAGCAAGTGGATTTTCTTTGATAAGAAATTGTTTATGACTGTCTCCTTGTTTTAGGCCTTTGATATAATTCATCACATTTTCTTCAAAGGCACCTTTGTATTTGTGTTGAGCTGTTTCAGAGAATGCAATTAACGCATCAAATAGAAGTTTCTTACTGAGTTCAGCGATATCATCTGTAAGTTTGTTTCTTTTCTGATCCTCTACTAAGCAACAAACATTTTTGTTTGTGTTTTTCCCATCAGCATGGCTAGTCTTATTTTCCTTTGGAGGCACATCCGCGAGCATCCCTTGTTTTATTTGTATCATATCTGTTTTTTCTTTATCTGATCCCCAGCACATTAAATTATTTTGATGATGATATTCATCACATTTACGGTGGTCAGCATGTGGAAATGTTTGACTTTTTCTGGACTGCAAGGCAACATACAGCCTAGACTGCTTTTCTGACACATCTGATCCTCCTGCACTTTTTGTATCTTCAGCTTTCTGCTCTGTTACCCCTGCACCCTGCTCACCAACTTCAGGGTATTTGCAGCCTCTTTTGAAGGATTCATCATCATAGGAGGAGTCTGAGTCTTCATCCCCAGTGGAACTGGAACCATTTTTGTTATCCTCCAAAAGGTGTGAAATCTCACCAGGTCTGACAAAGATACCACAGTGCTGTGCACATTCAAAATACTTCACCCCTTTATAAGTTCCAGCATGATCACCTTCAGCTTTGTCCAGTGCAACACCAGCCCAATGGCCGCTATCAAAGCAAGTCTGTCCTTTGAACATCAGGGTTCCAGGTTGGGTCTGCTTTACTAACACTCTGTCACCAATTTCAAATGCTGATAGTGGATCATCACTGTCCTCCTCACCTAAGTGCAGCGTTACGTATGTTTTGCATTGTTTCATCATGAATGCAGGAGTTTTACTGGCCTGACTAGAAGAAACAGGATTTGACACAGGCAGAAGCTCCAAAGAGTGTGAAAGCATCTCCTGCTCTCCTTCCTGGTATTCTGACAAGTGCTCCTTTGCACAGGAAATATCTTCTTCAACTAAATACTGTTCTGAGATGTTACCTTCCTGAGATGAAAAGATATCAACTGGCTCTCGATTGAACAAGGGATATTCTTCAGACACAGTGTCATCAGGTAATGGGGGGAATGCATCCATTTTCAGTGATATATCTTCATTCATACACTGTCCAGTCTCTGGGACTGTCATTTGTTCTGGTGGAGGTGGGAAATCATCTGTACTGAAGCTAGAATCATCATTTTTCATTGTATCTACACCCAAAGGGGGAGGAGGGAGATCTTCACTTGGAAATGACAAATCCTTTTTATTAGAGGATGGCAAGTCAGCACTTCCGTAGGACAACACTTCATCAACAGGAGACAGTATTTCTGACAAGGTAGCCTCATCACTAATAAAGATTGTATAATCTTCACTTCTGAAAGAGTTCTCAGATTGAAACAGTTGCTCTTTTGAGGAAGAAAACTGCCCATTCCCCAATTCCTTTGTGGCTTGCCTGTCAGTTTTTGAATTCTCATGAGTTCCTGGGGCCAACCTCTGCAAAGACCCGAAGGAGGTGGTTTCTGTATGGACTTCCTCAGAAATTCCTTGTGTGGACAAGGGCAGAGATACAATCTTACCGAGTTCTCCAGATATGCTCCTCTCATTCAAAAGCTGTGCATGATCATTTTGCACTGCTGCATTTCTGGACAATGAACATGTTACTAATTTATCATTTGCAGTATCTTTGTCAGATGGAAAAGAGACAGTGCTACTAAATTGGTTAGCAGCCACATCTAAAGGTTTCAAAGAATCCATCAACGGAAGACTTTGATCCCCTAATAAACTGTTAATTCCATCATTCCTTTTTGATTTGTTAGTTATAGAATCAGGATTGTGCTGTTTGTGGTTCTGAAGTAGGTAAATATCACTGCACAAAGAGCTGGCAGCTGCATTTTTTGAGTTTTCTGAGGCTTCCAAGTGTGGCTTATCCATTCCCTCAGTGGGTTTACCAAACTGAGAGGAATCCAATGGTGTTGTTTTGGATGTATTTGCTTTGTCTGCTGAAAGGAAAGAAGGCAAATGACCGGTGCACCCATGAGCTGAAGCCTCTCCAGGGCATTTCTGGAAGTTCTGAGAGCATGATGAAATCTCTGTGCTGCTGTCATCCTTGGACACTTCAAGTTCATTATGTTTGTCACTATGTAATGTTTTCCTCCCAGAATTTATTGCTATTGGTGCTTCTTTTGGAGCCTTAGGAGAAGCATCATAGACTAATTCTTCTGGAATACTGACATCAGTGCCCTCTCCATTTTGCACCTCTAATTCAACATCTGAAACATCAATCCAAACTGCAGACACTTTCTGAAAATCTGGGAGAGAACAGTCAGATCTGGCACTTTCAGAGCTTGGAGAGAACCTGTTTGACTTGAACAATGATTCAGTAGAACCTAATCCTTTGGAAAATGCTTTCCACTGTAGTTCTTCATCAGATGTGTCTTGATAATTATGGCCCAAAGGCTTCAGATGCTGACTGCTATCCCCCTGATGGTTCTCACAAGGAGCAGACATTTCCTCTTCATGTGGAACATCTAAAGAAAAAATTCAAGAAAACATTTTTTATTTTATAGAAGAGGTTGCTGAGAGGTAACTGGATTCAAATCCATTTAATTCTCAGCAGTAAATTGCATTCAAAAAAAGTCAGCAGTATTAAATTCATTATCAACTTGAGAATTATTTTAATATCATAAAAACAAGCCAGGTTTATCAAAAAAAGATGAAGAAATCAGTATTGTAGCAAACAAGCTAATACAATAGTGCCAAGGTAGTTGGTCAGAAGAGTCAAATGCAAAGTTTTCATTAAGGTCTCCATTATTTTAACCCAAAGAGGAACTTCAGTGCCTGGTACAAGAAGTAGACCATTATTCTCTATGGACAGAGAGATCTCCAGAAAGAACTACTACTAAGATTATGATAAATAACCACAGAAGCCCTGTGGGGAAAAAGGCACTTACCTTCTGAAGGAAGGATTTCAGGAGGTGCTTTTTCAGCTACACACGTGATCTGTGATTCTCTTTCACAATCTGGGCTAACCCTGAAAATACAGCATTATAATTGAATTAAAACTGAAATTATGAAGTGCATGGCACTCAGAAGCGTTCAAAAATGTTAGTGTATTACGTTATGTTTCTTCAGGTGTATTTGCTACCCACACACAGCACAATGCTGAACACGGCACCTTGTTTTCAACTGTTACTTCAGATGCTTTCTATCAAGACCAAAGCATTCTGTAGACACACTTTCTAAAAGTTGATTTCAACATTCATTCAATTGGCTCAAAAAGAATTTGATGCTTATAGTTGGTTCTGTTCTTTGAACATCTAACTCAAACAAGGCAACATTTGACACATCAATAAGAAGCAGAAGGTAGGACAGGAGGTCTTGATCTTGATGGAGACAGTACCTTAGTTCAGCTAATGAACTTCCTTTCCTTAACTGAGTTTCCATTATTGTAGATTCTCTTGACATTGGCGCCGACCTTTTTTCACTGTCTTGGTCATCAAAAGAAAGATCTTTCTTACTTGTGCCAGCCTGAAGAGGCAATGATAAAAATAAAAGCACTGAATAAACAAGAAAACTGAAGAATGCCAGTGAGCTGCCACTGAAACTGCTCCAGGTTTAAGGCAATACAGCACAACAGAACTTCAACACAATGTCATCTTTATGTATAAGCTGAGTTCCAAGTGCAATATCTCCATGACAGGCAATACTGTGGATTTCCTCCCTTGAAAACTTTATGCAAAGATTAAAAAACAGGTAAGAAAAACATAAGCTTGACACATGCCTGAAATGGATTACACGGGTCTTGTTCTTCTCTAGAAGTTCTGCCATTTTTCTGCTCCCTGGGTGCTTTCTCTACTGTCACAAGTTCATTCTCTTGATCTTCTAAGAATGAGGTATCATTACCTGAAATGTACAGATTACTCAGCACAGAAGGAAAATGAGGGGTTCTTCATCATCTCAACCACACAAAGTAGCCATGGTTACAAGAGGCTAAAGCTTGCTACTAGAGTTCACATCAAAGCCTTTGCACTCACACTCTAGGTTATGAAACAGCAGAAGTCTCACACCAAATATAAAAATGAAGTAAAAATACTAATGGTGAAATTGTGATCCATTCAAGTCCATGGGAAACTCCTTACCTCAGAGACTGAATTTGAACCAACTGAAATAAATCCTATTTTCCACATGCTAAGCCCTAGGCTTAAGAATCCAGCAAAAATGCATCATCTGCACTATTTCTAACATTAAGACCACTGTTACTAATTCTTAGTTGCACAAACCTGTAGTCTCACTCACTACAACATCTAGAAGTAAATGTAGAATACAGTTAATTAGAAACAAACAAACCAATAAATACTTTGTGCAATATTTCATATAATACAGAGATTATGCATACCCAGAGCTCTATAAATTATAGAACTGACTCACAAAAATAAAACTGGCTGTTATATATATGCTGTACTGATAGCAAGAAATATGAACTGAGGATAAAACCTGGAAACAAAAATAACTCCAGAATGCGCTGTCAAAGTCCATCTCCAGCTGATCTATGTTCTTTTGAAATGAACACCCTTAAATTATTTTAAATGTGCCTCAAAAGAAAGTAATTGTCAATGGCATAATCAGAATAAGTTATGATTTTGTTCTGAGGAAGCTCTGTAATGATATCTCATGATAAACCTTCGAGAGATCTCCACCATCTTATCTAGTTGTGATTTATGCATTGGGTTTAGTGAGCAAGACACTTAGATAATAAATGAGAAGATTCTCTCTCTCTCTGTCTCGAATAAAGTTTGAAGTGCTTGAAACAGATTGGACATAATTTCATTAAGTATGATTTACCAGTTTCTTGAAGGATGTTTTCTGCCTGCACCCAGCATAAGGTACACAGAGCACAAAGCTTCCCCAAAGCCTTTCACCCTAAATATGGATTGTTTTCCTTGTTTTTATTTTGCTCTCACACACTTCTTGTCACCCCAACAGAAGCTGAAAGGGGCAACGACCTTATCCCTCCAACCACCCCCTTATTTATCTTCCAGTTACGTAGCAGAAGCTGTAATTCTCACTTCCAGAAATTTCTACAGTCACTCTTTCTATGCACAAACACCACCCCAACAAGACCACTTCCAGCTTTTTACACTTTCTTTTGTTAATCCTGAACAGACCCTCGTACCAAAACCCACACCAGAGACAACCAAGGAACAGATAAGCATCACAAGTTCTCTCCCATAGCTACTCAGCTTTACAGTCCTCTTCTAAGAGATCACTTGAACTGCTCCAGAGTACTGCTGAGGTTTCAACTCTCACCTTTAGTAATTTAATTTGACTAGGTGTTCATAGTTGGCTAAAGAAGTCTTTTTATTGCCTACCTGCATTTATGGAATGTTTGATCATAAAGACCATGCCTGTGGTTTGACTGGTGGCATCACACACATTCTTGGCTACTGTTCCAGATGCATCAGGACCTCGTGCACCCAGGGACTGCTGCAAACTCAATGGCTCCCCTGTCTGTTCCTGGGATTGTAGCAGTGTTTTCTTACTCTTGGTAGAAAAGCTGAAAACAGTTAGAACAAGGAATTCATGACTGGGAGTTTTTTTTGTGTTCCCAAGTTAATCACAATATGCCTATGCAAAGTCGATGAAGACATGAATTAAGTGTTTCTGGTAGCCCATGCTGGTACCTGCACTAGTAGCACGTGCTTGCATGCACATGCTTATAAAAGCCAGTTATTTCTCTCTTCCCCTCCCTCTCACAGTGCTGTATTTTATACAGGCATACAAGAACAAGAGACCATAAAAAAAATCATAAGCTCTGAAAATGCAAAGAAACAAAACAAAAAGCCAACCTCAAAACCAACCCCACGACTATGAAGTATTTAAGGACATGAAACTAAGTATCCCAATTTGGCAGATCCATTCTCAATCCTTAGCCAAATGCTTGTCTGCTTACAGTAATTCATAACTATAAGCTCTGTATTCCTTGTTTCTTGTATTTCATATCCACTGATGACACCCCAAACCAGCAGCTTTTCCTGCAGGTTAGCAATTAATTTATTACTTCAGTTAGCTTTATTTTTCAAATAGCATTTCCATCTCTTCCACTCCCTGACAGCCCTGCTTATTATCTTCCTGTTCAGGATAAAATATTAACATACCTGCACAGGTGGGTAGATGGCATAATTACTGCTCTACACTTTTATATGGAAAACAGATCTATACACAGCAATGCAGCAGACAGAGTTTGGGTCATTGAACTCCACCAGGCCCTGTCTGCCCCAGACTTACACTAATATTCTCCTATGAGCAGGCTTATCAGTAATAAGAAGTGAAAGCACAGCCAAGAAACCTTTTAAAGATTCCTGTGACTTGTAATCAATAACACCATGAGTTATGGATCAATTCCATGACGGGATTTATTTGAAAGCCTTTCCCTGTGGGCAATGTAAGTAAATGCACAGCCCTGACTTGCCAGCCTACACAGGGAACACCAAATGAGAGGGCTTTTCCTATCGTCTTCAGCCACTTCTTCTGAAGCAAGTTAGATGTTTGTTCACCTGAACCATTTGGACAACAGCCATACTGAGCAGCATCAACACTGCTGAGTCCTCATCTGCACTGCTCAGGGCAAAGCAAATTGGGGTGTTGGGGTTATGGCATCTGGGGAATGGGAGGTCAGTGCTTCCTCAGAACAGCCTCCCTGAACTCCCAAATTACAGGCGACTGTGGGTATTTTACTGACACCTCTAAGCATCAGTTTATGCATAACATTAAGCCCCATGTAGTACAAAAGCCTTCTGTAGTTAAATCCCAAGTGAAAGACAAACCTGCTCTGAGGGGTTAAGTGATACATAACCTTAGAGTGGATGACAAAGGAGTGATTTCCACCAATTAAATCAATATGTTTCTACTCGTTTCACATGGGTATTTTGAAGTTTAATTAACATATAGTTGCAAAGTGCTTTGAGCTTGTAGTTAGAAGTCATCATGAAAATGTGAGTTATCATCAGATATTGTATGGCATCATTAAAAATTATCCAGGTTATTAATGCTATGGAAATTGACTGGCATAGGACTGCTGTCAAAGCTGCAGTTGTTCCTAACATTACAGAGATAGGCCTTAGTCCCACAGAACTGCTTAACAGTTCATAATACAGATAATCCTAGGGAAATGGCATACACTGGTAAATGTATTCTACTTGAAGAGTTTAGCAAGTGGTATGTAACCTTTATATATCTCCAGATATGGATCCATATCTCAATTTACTTGGAACTGTTCATGTACCTTGCAATAAGCTGGTACTTGCCCCAGTGAGCTTCCCATTTTAGATGTGAGGTGGCAGAGTGAACAAACAGAGGACACACAAAATAATCAATGAGGCAATATCGGTCAGAATGTTAAGCAGGGATATTGATGCATCAACTGCTCGACCACGGGGGTTTTCAAAACTTATCATTATAAAACACCCTCTCGGGAGCATTTAAACCTCACACAATTATCTGGGCTATAACTGCTCCTGCCTTCCCCACTGGATTGGTTTTTGTCTTCAGCTATCACTGTGGAATGGGTTTTACTTACCCATCATATTTTTTGTTTTGTTTGTTCTTTAGCTGGACACAGTTCTGTTTATCCCCACACACATCAAGCCTTGTAGATTCTACCAAGGAGGAACCTAACATAGCATTAGAGATCTGTCTCATCTTTGGCTTAATTACTTCTTCAGTTGCTGAGCTCCTGGTAGGCTGAAAGGAAAAGGACTGTGTAAGTTTTCACCTGGATATTAACTGCAGTGCCAGCTCTGACTTTGTTATTATCCATCCACATAAAACAAACAACCAAAAAGAGCACTGAGACTTCTATTAACAGCCTCATTAGGACTGCAAAAGTAATCAACAGGCTATGAATTAGTTCAATGGAAACAATCTCATGTAGGAATTGAATGGTCTAAGATTCTGAAGTCCTGTTCAGATCCAGGTAGCAACCACCTATATGAGAATCTTTACCTTAGATTCAATTCTAATAATGAAGAACACCTGTTTATTAAGAGAATAAACACATGTTCAGCACACAAGTCCAAGCCTAGCATGACCTGCACCCACACAATTAAAAGCTATCACTCATTAAGTGACTTGATGACCTTTTTCTTCCCAGTTAGACGATGCAGTTCTGCCTGGAGTTTTGCTGTTGACTGCCGTATCATTAAGATTTCTCTTTGTTGCTTTAATAAGAGTTTCCTCTCCTGATGGGCCGCCCTGTAGATATTTTGCAGGTGCTGTATTTCTACCTACATGAAGCAGAGAAAGAAAACAGTATGAGAGAGCTAAGAATAAATTTTAAAAAGCACCATCAGGTAGGAAACAAAACAGAACAATGCACATGAAATAAACCAGTAACCTTTTCCTTTTAAAAATACAAAAAAGCAATATGAAATCTTGCTCCAACCGCCTCCCAGTGCTGCATGAAGCAGGGGGGGATGCAAGGAGCCCCAGATGCTCTTGCAGCATTACCTGCTCCTGTTTCAGCTCTGTTAGGACTTTGCGCTGCTTCTCAGCCATGGCAGAGGCTCCCTCAGTGTCTTGCAGGAGTTCCAGACAGCTGAGAAGCAGAGGACAGGTACAACAGTCAATGGATAATCCAATGCCATGAATGCAAGAGTTTTGGGGAAGAAAAAAAAAAAAGCTATAACGCACAGGAGCAAAGCTTGTCTCCAAAGAGCTGTGGAGCTGCAGTAGCCATGGAAGGCTCTGCAGAAGGTCCTGCTGGGCTGTGAGGGCACATCACTGTGGGAAGGCCAACCCACACGAGGAGACCAGACCACTCAGGTCAGAGGAAGGGACACCCACACCACAAGGGCTCACACGTGCAGCAGTGCCTCAGCAGCACCAGAGACACCTCACACCGCTGGGAGGCTGCAGCTGTCACTTCTGCCATGCACTGAAGAGAATAGAACCCAGCAGGTCCTCTCTTGCTTCTTCACCCACACTCACTCCATAAGAAACGGGGTTTTATATTTGCTCTCTTTCCCCCAAAGGAGGAAGCATTCTGACAAGAGCAGAGAGCTGCATCCCTACATCACAGCACAGCACCCTCCCTCAGGGCCGGCTCAGCTTCCCTCACCGCCTCTGGTGACCCAGCCAGGCCAGCTCAGCTCTGGCTTTATCCCTCACAGCTCCCCTGCGCAGCTCCAAGAGGGCGGCCTGGTGGCGGCCACGAAGCTCCTCTCCCCTCAGGCACTGCTCTGCTATGGCCAGGCTGAAGCAGCAGAAGGAGCTGGAACATCCATAGTGCCGGCCAGCATCACTGCACTGGGGACAGAGCAGAGCACCGTGGTTACTGAGGAAGAGATTCACGTGGGGACTGAAAATACAACAAAACAAGATCCAAGCTCGGCAGGGTGGAAGCAGAGCTGTTGTTACCTGGCTGTCCTGGTCACTGCTGTCCCCAGAGCCATCTGCTGTGCAGGGATGGGGCAGCTCTATTGGAGCTGAGAGCAGGTTCAGGCCTTGGTGGCCATGCAATGGCTCCCTGTCCTCTGCTGGCAGAGATCCTGAGGAGGGGAAGACTTCAAGTCATCACAAATAGAATATCTAACAGATAGAGGAACAGAGTGATGTATCTTGTTTCTAAACATGATCATTGAGGCATGACAAATGAAGATTAGAGCTGTGTGCTTCCACCATGCTGCCTCACGCAGTGCAGCATCCGTTCCCGAATTCAGGCTGTTGGGAAAACCTCCACATCCTGCACTGCTGGGATCACCAAGTGGACACCAGAACCTCTCAGCTGGTTCCCTTTGCACTCTGACATTTGAGCATCAGCCTCCAAACAGCTTGTTGGGGATTACGGTGTCTGCTCACTCACAGGAGCAAACTCTGAACATTAACCTCATTTTCAACTGAAATCAGCGTGAAGAGGTAAAAAGAAAAGAGAGGCCTATAAACAGGGTAAGTAACTGGAAGGTCCCAAGATTATTTTCTTCAGCATGGTCAGGAGTACACATGAAGATTGCTATGATTTAGCAATGATATAATGACTATAAATATTTACATTCTCAGAATCAGCTGGGAAATGACTGAAATTGTGATTAATGGTTCCAACTCTTGAATTTTACAGTATATCGTAAGCCATGCTAGAAAACACCGTTGTTTACACTATACCACCAAACCCTTTAACTCAGAGCTCACCTTCATGAAGGGCTGAGCCAAATGAACTCCTTCCTCCCAGAGATTTCCTTTCTCCCACAGTTTTGGAGTCCATCAGGCTCCGCTCTCTCTCCATATTCAATGGAAATTGTTTCAGGGAATGCATCTCTTCATTACTGAAGGTAGGAGAGGAAGGATATTTTTCCTTGTTGCAATTAGAGAGAAAATTTAAATCCCCAGCTTTCTTTGAAGAATCCTCAGAGGAGGCATACGATGGCACCACTGCAGGGCTGCCCTGCACACTGTGTCCCATACCTGCCAGCTGTGCTGTCACCTGCAGGCTGGTGTCCTGCCCATCTTTGCTCTGCATGGTCCAGCTTCGGCGCAGGGGAATCACTGCCTTTGGAGCTACTGCACAGCTGCAGAAACGGTCCATAGATTGAGTGATTTGTTTGGAAGGCAGAACTTTTAATCCTTTTCCCCTTATCCTCTCGGATACAGATATATTTAGTTTAAAAGTAATTCCTTATGAGCTAAAGGACCAGTGAGATGGGTACTACTGACAGCGAAGTGACTGAGTATGGAGGGTAGGGAGTGTCACTCATCCTTAGGGTGGATAAAACATATAGAAAAAAAAATAACACAGAGGATGCTTGGCTCAATCCAGAAGCAGCAGCACAGGAACTGGAATCACTCACCTTTAAATCGTTCTGAAACAGGTCACTCAAAGACCTCTGGCTTTCCCGAAGCTCTAGCTTGGCCTTCTCACTCAGCACTGCCAGCCACTGCTTCTGCTGGAGCTGATGTGTCTATGGTAGGAAATGACACGCTGTATACAATATTTTTAACTGAGTCACATGGCTCCTCAAGAGCTGGGTGCCAAAGGGCAGCAAACTGAGAGAGCAGCACAGGTACTGTGCCACCAACCCCTGCTGTACCCTGCATACCCTTTGGAATGCAGCCACTTCTCTTTGCCTCAGCTAGCACAAAGCAAGGCATTTGCAACCACCAGCACTAATATAGCATTAACAAACAGTAAATAAAGCTTTGCACCTCTCCCTTGCAGCCACATGGGTTTTATAAACCTGCTGCAGAACCAGCTGATGCCAATTATGGCCTGAACACACCTGTGTCCTTGGATAGCCAGCAATTTGTATTTCGCTTTATTTTTTAACCTCTGATAGCAGCACTGAAATTGCTTTTTGCCTGGACTGCTTACTGTACCTTCAGTTTGTGAGCCAGTAGGAGGGAAGCTTGTTTTAAGTTGTGCAGATGGTTCCTGTGTTTCTCTTTCAGTTCTGCACAGCTAGGGTCTGCCTCGCCTGCAGAAACTTACAAAGTAGATGTTAACAGTCACCATATTTTAATTGCAAAAAATAAAAAGAATCCATGTTTTATTTAATAGGTGCCAGCAGAAGAAAGTATCAGAATTTAGGAGAGGGAGGCAGCAGAAGGAGATTGCTTTGGATTCCAGTGGGATGCTGCCCTGAAAATGCATTCCTATGCTGTCAAAGTCCATGGGGATGTAGGGATTTGCCAGGTGCTCTGCCAGGAGGGGTGGCAGAGCTGGGCACAGAACACCTTGTGAGCAGTCAGGATATTTCCAGCATCGAAGGCATCGAACTCCCAGCTCTGCTGCATTTCAGGCATGGCTGTGCTTCTCAAAGCATTCCTGAGTTGTAACACACGGACATAAACAGGGCTGCTGAAAGGGAGAGGGTGATACATACATTTCTGTACCTGTGTTTTCCTTTTGAATCCTTCCTGGACCTATAGTTGGAAGACTCCCACATCTCACATCTGCCTTTATTCCCAGACCAGCTTCTCTGCATATATTTAAGAAGGAAATCATCCCTACCTCCATCCTGTCAAGAAATCTGTTAGCAGACAGTCCTGCAAGCAGTGGGGGGAGGGGAGGGGGTCGGATTCAGGGGGGTTGTGCCGGGAGCAGAAGGACTGAGGAGCTGTTCCCATTCCTAACCATTCTCTGGTCTGAAGTCCAGAGGGCGTTTTTGTCTCTCTGCTCCTTTGCTGCATGAACAGAATCAGATCCACTGGTTACAAAAGAAGAAAAGCTTCCCAACCTGGGTGATCTCTGCGGGAGCCCTAACAGCATCACGCGTGCCCTCCATCCTGCAGCCTCTCCCTGTGCAGGGCTGCAGCCTTGATGTCTCTCTTTTGTCACAGGGGAGAAAAGCCTTTGCTTCTACGTGGGGAAAACAGCCCTTGTTCCAGGTGCGCCTGTTTCCCTGCTACTTCCTTATTGTGACCCTCTTGTCTGTCTTTTACAGTATAGGTGATGTAATGTTTACCAGTGATATGTTCTTGGCTGCCTTGGGCTTCTCAGATGAATTGCTAAGCTTATGCAAACAGGTTGAGTGTTTACTCTGAGCTGTGCCACTGTCACAGCAACCAGAGTCATAAATGAATTGAAGTGTGGGTCATAAATAGAAATAGGTTTGACTTGGTAACATCAGATATAATCTGTATCCATGTTCAGATTGCCTGAATCCAAATGACCCCACATCCCAGGAGAAACCCACAACACGTAGGGTTTGGTTTTGCTTGTGTGTATCTCCCAGTTCTGGGTGGTTGTTTGAAAAGGCAAAATCATACAGAATGGTTCAGCAGTCACACGGCTAACAGAAGGTCTGTTCTTCAACAACTACTGGTTTTACCTCACACTTCCCACTCTGGGGGTCTGATTCAGACTATCCAGTGCTCACAGCTACCAAAGACAAAGCTCAACATGAGGGTGGCCCCTTCAATGCAGCGAAATAAGATGATGTCATACCAAACCAAATAAATAAAGGGAAGGTACAGAGCAGATCTATTGGTGCTAACTTGTCTGAGTAGCTTCCAATACCAACATGTGAACGATGGGAACCTATTAGGGCATTGTTTACAACTGGAAAGTATTTTCCATTTGTGCCTCAGACTGAATGATGTTATTGGTGATCCATTCAGAGACTGACCACCAGTATTGATCTCAAGGTGAACACAAAGTTTTTTCTGAGATGTTTTCACTCCTCTTGGACATCATTTTCCTAACAGAGGCTGTTGCCAGATGCATTCATTATGTTCCAACATCCTGTGTTAAAGAAAATACCATCTGGCTAAAATTCACGTCCTCTTCCATTATGATGAATGGCATTTTACTGCATATCCAGATAGCTTCGATGTACACACACTCTGTCTTTAAAAAAAAAAAAGAGCTATTTATTAAATCAATTTCCGCTGCACCTGCAGAATCTCAGCAAAGCCCTGTAGAATCTCTGTGACATGTAATTAAAAAAGCTGGGCTAAAAGTCTCATTTTTCTAATCACTTGAAGCTAGGCAGAAGCACTTACTGCTGCGCTACTCAAGGACAGCTTTTCCTCTTTCTGCCCGTGTCAGCAATCAGTCCAAAACAGTTATTACCAAACTACTTCCATGCTACTTCAGATGGAAGCACAACTTTTACTGCATCGTTCCCTGGATGTCTATGGAGGTGGGGTGACAGTGGTCCAGAAAGGTCTGTAATGGAGACACAGACCCAGCACTAAGAGACCACTTGCTACCCAAGGCAAGGCAGTCTTTCTCTCTCAATCATCACAGCACTGACCTATTATTTGATGAACTCGTCAGGCATGGGGTGGTGAAATGCCAGCCAGGTGTCTCAATACTTCGTTGGTGTGCAGGAACTGAGTTGTAGTGATGACAGGTATGCAGAGATACAAAGATTTGCAGACTCCAGATCACATCTGAGACATGCAGCACCAAGTAGGACAGCTGTCCGTCCTTCCTTTAGCAAGACCTGAGCCAAGAGCAATCCCTAAGAGACTCTAATCTTGAGAGCTACACTTATTTACCCAGGAAAATCAATGCCCTCATCTGCATCCTTGAGTACCTTGGAGAATCTGTATTTCCACATCTGCAGTTTCTTCTCTCTTTATAAATACATCTGGCATGCCACTTGTCACTGAGGGGTAGCTGCCTGCTGGACCAAGGGATTAATGCGGCCGGTGCCACTCCTGTCCTCTGCACGTTTTGTGCTTATATCTAAATCCTCTGGTGCACGGGGTTGGCCAGAGTTCAGCTTCCAGCCAGATGTTGCAGCACATGGCCATACGTCACCCTGCTATTGACCCATCCGGTGTGACATCTCACATACAGAGCAAGTCAGCAGCTCTTGCCACAGGCTAGCAAGAGATGGGCCTGAACCTGGACCTAACCAGCACACTGACTTTCTGTGAAATGCTCCTTCTATGTCTTATCCGTTATACTAAATTCCCTCAGCCTATTGCATGTCCAGCATGAGTAGCAAAGCCCCAGTCTGTGTGGCAAAGCAACGCTGGACCCACAGAGCAAGAAATACACACATCCACATGCTTTGTGGCAACGTTTTACAGGTGACTTTACAGGTAGAGCTCACCCAAGCTTTGTAAACTACAAAAAGCGGGGCATATTTTGAAGCAAAACACAAAGAGCTCTCTTATCTCTGAGCCATCAGTCAGAGGAGAATTGGCTGAATCCATGCTGCTACACTTCTGTGCTGATGGCATTAACTTCATCGTGTCTCCCTCTCCCACAAACAAGAAGGCAGCTCCCTCTAGTGATGTGAGACAGTCCGTGGATCAGCAGCTAAGGGATGGACGTACACCTTTTGTGATCCAGGTTAAGATTATGCGTTTGAAAAATGGGCAGCATTCCACTGGTTTCCCAATGCCAGCAGCTCTCAATCAGTAGCTGTGTGGAAGATGAAGCACTCAGAAAAGGCTTGTTTAAAGGTAATTTTCAGCTTACATCTTGTCTCTCGGATACAAAACAGGAAGACATGGGGGCCTGGCATGCTGAAGTGGGCTTTCCCACTCATGTGCAGATGGCATTTACAGTTTTGGGTTTCATATTGCTTGTGTTCAAAAAGAAAATTCAAGAGTTCAGGACAGACTCACTGGCTCTGCTCAAGCAGTGAACAGATACAAAGTTTGTGAACATCAACCTTGTGTATTCTATTATATCTGAAAATGCTAGCTGTCCTATTGCCAAACGTGTTTACAACAGAGAAGAAGTAATTTCTTTGGCACAGCAATTAGTAGCTAGGTGATGCCTGTGCCTTTCACGTGTAAATATTTATACTTTGCCTCAGTTGTGTAATTACACATCATTACGCTGCGTGTGCACGGCAACTTCTGTGTCCTGTGAGAGAGAACAGAAGCAACTGCTGTGTGATGCATGACAGCAGACAATGCAGCCCTGCTTCTGAATGCCCTTTTCCAGATACGAGCGGGGAACGGATCCACCAATGACCCATATTTCAGGAGGACATTGTCTGCAGAATGACAGTTCTGTGCCTCATCTGCAGCAACGTGGCCGTTGTGGAGCTGTGGGCTCGTGGTCAGACCTCGGGCTGAGCTCAGTGTCAGCTCCTATGGACACTCGGGGAAGGTGGAGGTGTCTCCTGGCGCAGGCAGCAGGCAGCTGCTCCCATTGTGCAGGGGCAGCAGCGGGCAGAGGGCTGTCTGTCTGCCATGGCTTCCAGAACTGGGCCTTTCCATATTAATAGTAAATAAATACAATGTCTTTCGTTGATGGTAAACACTTTGGACAATGGACTTCTGTCCAACCCTGTGAGGAACCCGTGTGGTCCCTGGGGATTGGAGGGAAGCGCAGCAAACAATGCTGGCTTCCCCACCAATCTCAAAATCCAATATTACTTATAAAATGTTGTGGGGAAAACAATGAAGAATCCTTAATAAGAGCAAAGGCTTTTTGTAAGTACCCTCTTTGAGGAAAGGTTATCTGATCTTGTTCTTTTGTCTCAGAAAAGCCCTTAAAACAATGCACCATCTGCTGCTGTTTGTTGCAAGCAAGCAGGGATCTCTCCAGCCAGAGCAGGCCTGTGTGCTGCTGTTTGCTGCTTAACCCTTTCAGCAACAAACTTCCCCTTGTTCCTATGCAAATATCTGCTATGAGCAGAAGTGGCACTTTGCACCCACCCTTCCCTTGGCCTTCCCTTGGCTTGCAGCACGCTTGAGCACACGTCCTCAGTCTGCATCCTTTGTCACCCCCTGTAAGTGCTCTGTGCTGCACAAGGCAGATACCACCCCACGCTTATCCAGTGTATTAATTATGGGGCATTAATTGCAAAGCATCCTTCAGATGCAGCTGCAAGGGGATGGAGATGGCTCAGATCTGAGGGAGCTTTGTTCCATCAGGGCAGTCTGTGGCTGCCACCACACCATCGAGGTGACGTTCTGCTGAGTTCACCTATGCGAGACAGTGAAGCACTGAAGACAAAAGCCAAAGCACTCCTATTGCATCTCTAGCACAGTGTATCTGTGAAACTGGATTTGGGGAGTAATGCTAGCTGCTGATTCTTTCCCAGTAGCACAGGCAGCAGACTGGGGGGGCACAGGATAACCACACACCCACCCCATGGAAGCATCCTCTTACCGCAGTGCTGCTCAGTGCTGCCTCGAGCTCTGCAGTGCTGCAGTGTGTGGCTGCCTGCTGTCCTCAAGCTCTCCATGCAGGGATGGCGTTGGGCAGCTGCCCCTCGATCCTGCAGTGCTGGAATGGCCCCACACCTCCGAGCTGCAGGGTCTGTCTGCAGGCTGAGTGGAGGAAACAGTTACAGAGAGAGTTTTTGAGGTCAGGCATGGGTATAAGCATCTGCTGAACTCAAGAATGGTTTATTTCATTTTAGCAAAGCTCTCATTTGCCTCATTTTGTTAAACAGAAACAAAAGACCCACAGAAAAGTCACAGCTGCCCATGTACACAACCCCCCTTCTTGCACCTCAGTATTTCAGGAAAGCCAGGAACGCTCATTGCCTGCTCTGGGACTGCTCTGCAAGAGATGGCTTTTTCAAAACCAACTTTGCTGTTCCTAAGCTTT